ATTCAACAGTGATCGTCTGATTTCACACGAGCACTGTTGAAATGCTCGCATGTTTTTGCACGAGCACGAGCACAACAATTTAATTTTTTTTTGTGCTCGTGTGAATGTACGCGAGCACTTGCCAGCGTAAATTCACAAGTACATGAATAAAAAAAAATTCATCTCCTCGTGTGAATTCACACGAGCACTTGCCAAGTGCTCGCGTAAATTCACACGAGCAGATAAGGTTGTGGGAAAAAAACAAAAGGGATTGTTGCATTGTTTACTGAACCATCAATCATCGAAAAAACTCAATAGATTCACCCAATAACATTGCCATTTTTTATCCCTGATGTTTACGGGAAACCTGCTCACAAATACAAACAGGCCTCTGCTTTTATCATCAGGTTATTATTATTAATTACAATAATAATAATAATAATAATAATAACATATTTTATTTAATACTCATTTTTTTTAAATGAATTGTGGCTCAAAAGTGCTTGAAAACAATCACAGATGCCCTCTAAATAAATTGATAAATAAAGGGATACTCAACCCATAAATTTGTTTTTTTATTTTATCATCATTGCCACAATAAATTCTACTAAAATAATAAAATTAGCAAAAAAAAACAATCAGTTTTTTCACATTAAAATTAGTTAATATCATCATTGATTAATAAAAAAAAATAAAAATAAAAATGAAGGAAGGGGCATTCAGAATGAGTAGGAGGTTTTTTGTCAACACAGATTCAGAACAAATCAATCCTCATTATGCCACCAAAAACACATATACTCAAATTTCCCAATTAAAAAAAAAACAAAAAAGAAACAATTTTTAATTGGGAAAAAAATAAAATTGAAGATCCTCTCAGACAAATGCCTCGTTTGTCGTCACATTTTATAACGAATGGATTTCGATCGGACTCGTCATCGTATTTGTTCATCACAGAGAACCATATTCAAAATAATAATCACCATATCTTTTTTTTTTTTTTTGGAATTTCTCAAATTAAAAAGACAAATCAGAAAAAAAATAAAATCGATTGGCTTAGAAAGAAGAAGAAGAAGGATTGAATGATTGAAGAGAATGATTGGCCGCCATGAAAGAGAGCAAAATCTGAACTATTGAGTACCTGTGATTGTGAATTGCAATGATGGCGGATGGAAGTGAGTACTCGCAGCTGCGTCTTCTTGTACTTATAATAGATTCATGTGCCCTAATCTCTCTCTCTCTCTCTCTCTCTCTCTTTCTCTCTCTAGGGTTTCAGATTAGGGCTGGCGCCGATATCAGTTTATTTGGGCTGGACTATTTTCTATTTTTCCACCGAGTTTCATGGGCCCAATTGCTTTAACATTTTCTTGTTTTGAAAGGCACTAACAACATTAGATGTAAAATTTAACGGAATCTTCAATCCTCGTCGATTTTGATCCGATTTTAATGAATTCAAATAATTAGATTTTTCCGAAAATTATATTCATAATACTATGTATTTTATATTATTATAGGTCAATATAGAAAATATTATTTCAAATTACATGTGATCCGAATTCTGCCTTTTCGAAATAAGTTCTCATTCCAAATTCTGAAATTTAGATTCCCATCTGGAAAGTTAGTTTATGAGATGCTATAGCTGATGTAATACACCGTGTTGTTTTAACCATAGAACTATATAAATAATTATCTATCTAACAAGCATATATATATGGGTGTGTGTTGTTTTAACCATAGAACTATATAAATAATTATCTATCTAACAAGCATATATATATGGGTGTGTCATGTGTGTATTATTGTATGCAGATCAATGATGTAAAACTACATGGTGTATTTCACCAGATGAAGATTCTATAAAACCAGAGAAGTTGAAATATTTACGAATGTAGTAATCGTGATTCGTCTAATTTTCACTCTTAGTACTCACATACCACCAATTGTTTGACAAAATGACTTCCAATTCAAGACCACAAGATGTAATCAAGTCACAATTAAACAAATAATCAAACCTTCAATCAATAATTAGATAATTATGTATTAGATCTCTCCATAATTCGATCTTAGTTAATTAAGAGAATCAATGTTGCCGCATGGTCATTTACTATATTGCAAGAGCATCACTTGACATAACAGATAAGAAAGCAGGAAATTCGCAAAACAAACCCTAAACGTTGGTCTAAAACCCGAAATTACAGTTCGAATATAACAACAAACCTCCCCAAAGTAAATTCAACTATTCGTAAAACTATTCATAAAGAATCCTTCAAGAGGTACTTCCATCACCATGGTTGGATGATGGATCAACCGAAGGTTTCTTCGAAGGGCTGGACTGTGTGGTCGAACTCATCACAACACGTTTAACTCCTCGACCCACTACTCCTAAATGGGTCACTGCAGAGGCCCCGTTTGTATGAGCAGTGGAAACTGTAGGTGAATCTGTACTCCCTGCAGTTCCTGCAATTCCCATCTGTGAGGAGCTCATACCTACAGATTCAGTAGCTTTCTCGTTAGCCTTAGCCTTTGCAGACATTATGCCCAGGATATCTGCCAGGATAGATTTCGGATTTAAGACAAGCTGTTGTAGATCTTCGAGCTGCAAATCCAAAAAATAAATAAAAATAAATTAATGTTGTGTCAAACAAAGAACTTCGTACAAGTACGGATTTTTTAAGTTACCTTCTTCTCCAATTCACCGGATAGACCAGTTAGTGTTTCGATTTCTGCTTCTTTTTCTGCCAGAGGTTCACCTGAAAGGTTCTTTACTTCGTCCGTAAGTCGCTGCACTCTAGACTTGCAAACTGTGATGGCGTTTTCGCAATATGGAATAGCTTCTTCTGGTTTAGAACCAATTTCCAGGCACAGGCATATTCTGAAATTCCTGATCTCTCGAGTTAAGGGAAGAACAAATATAGGGAACCAAAAAAAAACGATTGACGAAAAAAAAAATGAAAACTTTGCAACTCGTGTTACATCATATTCAATCTTCGAAAGCCAATAGTTTATAACGATTTATGTTGAACCTAGTAAAGGATACAGCTCGGCTATCAGCCGACTGTCAGGTTCAACCAGGCGGGCCAAAATCGAGAGGGCTTTCAAGTAGTCGCTCAGTGAAGTTTCAACATCCTCTAGACAAAGCAAAAATAAACACATAATGAACAAATATACATATAATCAATCTATACAAATAAAATTCCTAAAAAGGTCGTTAAAAAAAGAAATTACCAACCTCTTTCTAAAGCAACTTCTGCTAGAGCTGATAATATGTCCACCTTTTCCATTGTGTCATCTGAGAGCTTCTCCACAATTGCTCGAGCAACATCTAGCATCTTCCAGGCCAAATCAAGGTCAGATTCATCCTCTTCACCGTCAGCAAGCTCTTCAGCATCACTTTCTTCGTCACCTTCTTCACCTTTCCCTTCTACAGCTAATAGAAGATAACACAAATAAAACTCCTTCAATTGCACAACGATGGTCTCGGTAGACAATAACTCTTTAATATACACGTAGAAACACACATTGATCCTATCCAAAATGAGTGTAAAATACTAGGGTTAAACTAGGATTCATAGTTGGTAATACGTAATATTCCTATCTCAGTCATTGATGCAAGAAGAGCATCAGTAAAATACTAAGTAAATTACACGTAGGCTACATCACACACGTTACTGCCAGAAAATTACTACTCAGGGTGTACCCAACTAAAACATCAGACAAGTTATCTGAGAAATATTGATAACTACTATGCATCTCATTTTCCCAAATTCAAGAGCATAAACATGTACTTTTTAACTGCACAGCATCGAATAACGTACCATCTAAATTCATCATTTGAGTTAGAGAAAAAGAAATACTAACTTTCATCTGGAGTGTTATCTGAACAAGTTGTGGCTTCGCATTTTTCTGCATTATCTGAAACAGAGGCAACAGAAGATTCGCCGGTTTCAGTATTTTTTACCGAGCCACCTCTAGTGGAACCTTCTTGAGATACAGCATCTTTTTTGGGCATAGCACCGAACGGGTCAGTCTCTTCTTGAGCTTTGTACAGCAGGGCACATCCAAATTTATAGTAAGCATTGACACACTCAGGAGCAAGCTCGCCAAAGTGTGCAACCCTAGAAGCACCAATTTAACACATACATCGATTTTAGGATGTGGAAATGGAAATAATCAAAGGACAATGTGCAATGCCATGAACAATTCTAACATTCTGCAAGGTATGCAGTAAACTCAAAATGAAAAATCAGGGTCATTTTCAAGTTAGTTCGTCCAGAACACAAAAAAAATGAGAGAACGTCGGCAATCTAATTTTTTGGCCATGATCTTGCTTTTCCAGATATTGTTATAAGACAATTTCTTTGCTTTTAGTGCATAATTTGGAAGATAAAAGATCAGGATTAAGTGGCAAACAACATAGTAAAAACCCGCGGAAAAACGAGAGATGATCAATCATATCAAAATAACCTCAAGAATATCAGCATATCTTTTTCTATAAAATTTCTCTACATCATACCAATAGTTATTAATGTATGCAGAGCAATGTATAAGAATATATGTCTTCAATCCTAAATATCAAGCAGAGGAAACGAAGAGAACAGAAACGTAAAAGTTGAAGGGCATAATCGAAGTGAAAACGCACACAGCCATAAACATTCTTCCACTAATCAGAATCAACGCTCAACATTTCTTCTACTTATCAGAAATTAGAGCTCACAAAAGAAGGGTTTCATCTGCTTATTAAAAAAAAAAAAAAGAACAAAGGAATACCTGATTTCTAGGGCACGGCTATAGCAATCAGTGGCTTCGGCATAATCACGCTCCTTGGCGGCTTTAGAGCCACGAGCCATCAACTCGTCGGCTTGTTCCAACGATTTCTCGACTTCATCGTTTTGAATTGCTTCGGAGCTTCCAGCACTGTTGCTGCTGCCGTTGTTGTTGCAGGTGGATTCCGTGGCTCCGCCACCGACGCCAGACTCAATAGTCGCTTCGCCGGAGACAGGGTTTTGGCCGGCGGAGGGACCGTGCACCACCGAATTCGCCGCTTCTTCTGCCATTTTTATGATAGTTAAACGGAAGAAGCTTCGGAAATTGGAAAAACCCTCGCCCCTTTTTATTTTCCCCCTTTTTGCTCACTGCTTCAAATGGAAATGCAAAATTCGCTATGGCGCAAAAACTACAAAAAGAATTGAAAAGCGCGGTGCTTAAACGACATCGTATTGAAGTTAGTAAATCAGGTGAGATTGGGCTGCTTTTAGAGGAGAGGCTTTGTTTGGGGTTTCGGTTTGGGTTTAGCTTTGGGCTTGGAGGATTGGGAATTTGGGCTATTAAAGTGGTGAATGTAATAAGGATTATTATTACGATAAATTACATCAACACCCTGAAACATTGTTAGAAACTATTGCACTAACTTACCACCTCCGGAACCAGTTGAGCTACACCCATGCGGGCACATTGTTAGAAACTCTAACGGAATATTGCATTGCGTATGTTATTCCGATAGAATTCTAATGGATTACCAGTTTCATGAAGTTGTGGAGACAATATCGAGCCAGAGGTGATTTAAGAAATGTTGGGGAAGTCATGTCACCCCCTACCTCTATGTTGTCTAGATCAGTCCTAATAGTCTGTTAAACCTCTATTGGAATAATGTAGCCAATGCATTATCACGTTAGAGTTCCTAACGATGTTTCAGGGGGTGCTTGAAATTACCGATACCACATAAACCTTAATGTTATTTTAACATACGTCAGGGTGTAGGTGTAATTTATCCTTATTATCAAGGTTGTAAAAAGCGTTAACCGGGTCGGAGTCGGTCAGGGACCGACTCACGATTAATCGATGCGGCGGTGATTAATCGGTGATAAATCGGAAATAAATCGATTTTTAAAATTTAATATAATGTATTTATAGATATTATTTATAAATATTCAAAACATAGATAAAAATATTTAAACATAATTATATCTCCATCGTGTATATATTCTAATAAACATAATAAAAGTTTAATAATAATAAGATCATAATACATAAATATCCTTATAAAATATAAATAAAAAGAGATTTTTTTTTAAATTTACATACATTCTTGGCATACATCATTAGTTTTTTTACCAATAATAATTAACATAAACAAAATAAAGCATAAACTCATATTTTTTTATTAAAATCCCAACTTTTATTTTGATTTAAAAAAAATGCCTATTTTTGCCATTGCAGTTTGACCCGCCTTAAAGGTTTGACCGCCTCAGACCGACTCGAACTGCCTCAAACCGCCTCACAGGCAAAAAACCAATTTTTCAATCATTTACACTAAAATCGTGAAGGTTTTGGACCGCCTCCACCTCGGCGACCAATTAGTCGGCCGCCTCGGCCGATTTTTAGAACACTGCTTATTATTATATAATTATATTTAAATTAAGAATTCTCTCTTCTTCTTTTTTTGGTAATGAAAGAACCCACAACCAACCATATAGGTGACTGGATAAATCTATACTCTTTTGTGTGTGTGTGTGTGTGTGTGTGTGTGTGTAATTGAAAATTTAACAAAAATATACGAATATTTGCTATTAAAATTTGTTTCTCATTATCTCGGGAAATTATAAAAATGGTCAAAATTAAATTTTAGTACGTTTCAAAATGCGTAAACGTTAAGAGGTCAAAGCGTCCATGCAAAACGGCAAACATCGGTTATACATAAACACAAACACGAAAGATGTGCAAACATTAAATACGTCATCCCGGACGACAACAAAATTAAATTCATAATCATCCCATATAAAACTAAAAATTATTATCTCCACCCATAACAAGATATTTTATTTAGACTAAAAAATAAAGATAAAAATAAATAAATAAAACATTAATCATGTATGTAATTAGGTAGAGTATGAGAATGGGAAGAGTGGTTGCAGTGACGTATGCATGACTGAAGATCTTTCCAACAAGCCTTATTATCTGCAACGCAGCACCAACACTTTGCTGATTTGCAATGTCCGGCTTTCATGCATTTCTTTTGCGAAATGAACCCTTTCAGCATTCTTCCTTTCTCTTTAGACCCCTCTTCTCCTCTGACGTGGCTGCCTATTCATACAACAACAAAAAATAATAATTAATTATTTAATTACTTCTGATATATATTTTATACACATCCACATGTATATATGCAAAACAAAAAAATATGAGTGCTATGTTATCTGGTTTATTTCACTCGTTATAGCACTTGTGAGACCATTTAGTCAATTGAAAAAGAAATGGATTCCAGAAATGATTTATAATTTTTTAATTTTCTTTGATTAAAATGAATGAAAGAAAACATATACATTCGTCAATGGAGTTATTGCAATTAGTACCCCTGTGTTATTTTTGAATTGCTAAAAAACTAACTCATGTTATTTTATTGGCAGAAATCGTCTATGATTCAATTTTTTTAGCACATAACACCCTAAACAGCGCTAGAAAAATTAAATTGTAGAGTTTTTGTCAATAAAATAACATTTGTTTTTTTTTTTTTAGATCAATTTGGTGTAACAAACATATAGATACCAATTGCAATAAACTCATTTGCCAAGCATTTCTTTTGAAAACATTTGAAAAACAAATAGAAAAACCTCACACATAAACATGGTAGCGAAAATGAATGTTGGGGTAAACAAAAGGGCTTAGTGGCAAAGAATTGTGAATCAAGAAATGAAATTAGAAATTAAAATTGGAGAAAGATGAATCCCGATTTAGGTGGTGTTTGCAAATGATTATTTAAAAGCAGAAGTTAGTGATTGTGATTTAAGTTAGTTTTAAGTGCTTATTTCTAAAAGTTGGGGGTGTTTGCAAATATTTCGGAAAATGAACTAAAATTGAAAAAGCAGGGTTATGGGTGCTTTTAAAAAAATAGCTTAAAGCAGATTATTTTAAGAGAAGCAAAAGCAAAAGTTGATTTTGCAAACACCTAAAAACAGATTATGAGCAAAAAAATCCGCATAATCACTTTCGAAAAGCATTTGCAAACACCACCTTAATAAAACAATAACAAAAAGCGCAAATCAAGGTTAGGAAAATAGGAATAAAATAGACGTACATTCATGAAAAATCAATAGCGATGCGAATAGAATTCCGACAAGAGCCAAACGGGGGGTTACTGATTTAGGAGCCATCTTCACTGTCAAAATACAATTTGTAAGAGGGTCCAGAAATTTATAGGAATAAATTATTTGGCATTTTACATTTGTATTTATTTATTTTAAGCAGAAATAAAATTTGCTGGAATACTTAGTCCACAAGTTTTTGAATTAGATAAGGATGCAATTAATGTTGGATTATCTACTCATAAATTTATTCTCATCGACTGAGGCTCCTTTCTATTTTCTTCATATTGATATTATTATTATTATCCCATTGTTCCAAATTAATTGTCGATTTGCAAACAACTTTTCATATTCCATATTATTCAAATTTCGTCGATCCTGATCCGAAATTGTCCACCTTTGGAACAAATACCTTCATCCCGATATCCGATATTCCAGTTTCCAAATTTTTCGAATTATTCTGATTTGGGATTGGAAATATATATTATATATATCATATCTTGAAAATTCCAATGCCCGATCCAATATGTTATCAGTAAATTATTCCAACCGTTTTGAAAAAAAAAATTGAAATATTTTATCAAATAATTATTTTATACTGTATGTATAGAAAAAAAAATATTACATATTTTATGTTGTAACAATAAGTGGGACTGGATTAGTCTTGTTTCGATACAATTAATCCGACTAACAATAAGTGGGACTGGATTAGTCTTGTTTCGATACAATTAATCCGACTTTTAACCTTTACATTATCTCTCTCGTGAATTTCAATGATGTATTAGTTATTATTTTCTCAAATCACCCTTATTAATTATTATTATTATTAATTAGTTGAGAGGAAATATAATTAATCACATCTTATTTTAGTCATTTTATATGTCTTCCCCCTAAAATTCACACATGTTTATTAGTTTTTTTTTAATGTTTGCCACGATCCAAAGCAAAACGTGTTTTGAAATGAAGAGAGTAGCATGAACATATTTATTACCTTATGCCTAAAGGGCTTAATCAGGCTCACAAAGGACCCTTTAATTCAAAGTAGTTAGTTATTTGAAAAATCGGACGGTATTGACACTTCAGCTTTGAAAATTCATTTCTCTTAAACCATAATTCCAAAATTCTAAAACTTTAACAGACTAATCAACTAATTCATTTCTTTGAAAATCTATTATTGTTTAATATCTAGATCCTAAATGGATTTTTCGTTACTCAAGAAAATATTGGAGAAGAGTTTTTTGTTGCTCAATTTGTCGAAGGTGTTCCCACCGGAAATTTGGATATCATACTGGATTTAATAGCAAGAAAATATCGGAGAATAATTTTTTTGTTACGAATGTGTTCCCACAGGAAATCTGGATATCATACTGGATTTAGTAGCAAGAAAATATCGGACAAGGATATTTTGTTACTCAATTTGTCGAAGGTGTTCCCACAAAAAATCTAGATATCATACTGGATTTAGTAGTCAATGATTTCGAAAAACGGTTTTGAATTATCAATCAAGAATTGGATTCCCTACCCATATTTATACAACACCACCTCTTCAATAAAGGTGGTGATTAACTTGATCTAATGGCTAGCAGATGTTCTCTACTTCAATGAAACCCTACAAATATTAGATGAGGGTTCTACAAAGTTTTCTAATATCTGCACAACCTACGTTACACTTGGCCTAATTGGACATTCTTCCATTGGTTAATTAAGTGTTGGGCTTGTTAAATTCCTTCAACCATCTATGAACTTAAATAATAATAATAATAATAATAATAATAATAATAATAATAATAATAATAATAATAATAATAATAATAATAATAATAATAATAATAATAATAATAATAATAATAATAATAATAATAATAATAATAATAATAATAATGGCAAATTACGGCCACCCCTGATGTATGGTTAAATTACGAAAAAACTCCTCTTGTTTGGGTAATTACAGCCACCCCCTCCTTTTAAATATTTTTACGTAAAATTTATGTAATTCGGTTATTTACCGAACCAAACTGTATATTTAGTTCGGTAAACGGTATGAAATGTTGGCGTACCGAAATTTTGGTGGGGTTTTACCGAATTAACATCCCTAAATTTATCTCTGGAGGGGTCTTTTCGTAAGATAAATACATAGTTGAGGGGGCGGCTGTAATTACCCAAACAGGAGGGGGGTTTTCGTAATTTGATTATAGCTCAGGGGATGACCGTAATTTGCCCTAATAACAATAAATCCAGTGTCCATTCGAAAACTATATTAAGGTTATGGTGGTATTGGTGAAACTTATTTAAAAACAGAAGTTATAAGTAATGTCATGAGTTAAGGTGGTGTTTGCAAGCTTTTAGAAATAGTTTATGAGCATTTTTTCTCCTCATAATATGTTTTTAGGTTTCTGCAAATTCAGTTTTTCCTTGTGCTTCTCTAAAATAAGTTATTTTAAGCTATTTTTTGAAAAGCATCCATAGAATTATTTTTTCTATTTAATTTCATTTTCCAGCATATTTGTAAATATCTACAACTTTTATAAATAGGCACTTAATATCCACTTAACTTACAATCAATTGTTTTTGCTTTCAAATAAGATTTTGTAAACATCATCTAAGTAGACATTAAATTTTTATTTCTAAAATTTAGAAATGTAGGCAAAAAAACTAGAATATCAACTTTAAAAAAAAAAAAAAGAAAAAAGCAAATCCACAACTGTTTTTCAAATTATTGCTTAAATCAATTTATTTTTAAAGAACCAAAAGTTAATTTCGCAAACATCTAAAACCAGAATATCTAATTATGAGAGAAAAACACTTAGAAAATCAATTTCTAAAAACATTTGCAACACCACCATCATATATATAAGAGTATTTATTATAATTTTTCAAACCAAATAATCTAGAAGATAAGTGTAGATATATAAGAAACCATGTAGTAAATGCACCATAATTTCCCAAAATTTAAATATTTCATATAAGCTCCATAAATATAAGATGATTAGTACTAAATAAGGTGCACTTTTCTCAATTGGTTTAGACTAATATTTACCCTTAGATTTATATTGCTTATTTAATTTTTCCTTAATATAAAAATTTTCGCCAAAAATGGAAAATAGAACGCAATTATTGTACAATTATCTATCCAATTAAATTAAAATAATAATTTATTATTTATTACTATAAGATAAATAATGCAACAGGAGAAAGGATCTGGTGGGAATCATCCGTATCCGCTAACTCAGGTGCAGCAACAACGGGTAGTACCTTTGACCATTTTGTACCACACCGTAAGCAGAAAGTCCCGCCGCTCCTCCGCCGCTCTCCGCCATGGCTCGGGCAGCTTCCACTTCTAGTACTATCGGCCTTCCCAGATTCAGCCCCTCATCTCTCCAATCACCTCACCAACCGCCGAGCTTCGTGAATTTCTCCTCCTGTGTTCAGAAGAAAACTCGCCGGCATCGCCGGATTTTCTGCCAAAACAACCCCGATCCAGTCGATTCCGCCGCCGCGGCAGACGTACGGCTGTCAATTTTGTTTCCCTTAGCTTTTGAGCGGCGATTATTTAGCGGCTAATATAAAGCAATTTGTGCAGGAAAAGCCGTTGATTGAGCCGGAATCAGGAACCAACGGAAGCTCGGATAACGCCGCCGCGGCAGAAGCAACTCCGTCCACCGGTACCGGATTTCCGGAGTATCCGGACAAAAACTTCAATCGGCGAATCGCACTTGGTTCTACACTCGGAGCTCTCGGATTGTTCTTGTCGGCGAGATTAGACGTCGGAGGAGGCTCATCGTTGAAGGAACTTTCCGCCGCCGCATTGCCATATGAAGAGGTTTTCATTTTGTTAACAAATTTGACAACTCTGCAAAAATTAATATTTGGGGAAAATTAATTAATTCAAAATTAATTTGACTTATAACAATTGAAGATTCATAATTGCTTTCCTCAATTGTACTATACCGATTCATAATCTCGAGACTATCTGTATTGTGCTTGCTGTTTAGTTGCCTATGAATTCGTTTGAAGATAATGCGTTTCGATCGATTTTGAAGTATTATGATCAACTTAAGCTTTTTTTGGATAGCAATTTTATTAATTGCTCACGTTTTGGGTTTGTTGTGGTTATCCGGCTCGTTTCTTAATCCTTTTGTGGTTTTGCTGTATAGGCTCTTTCAAATGGCAAGCCAACTGTTGTGGAATTCTATGCGGATTGGTGTGAAGTATGTCGAGAATTAGCTCCAGATGTGTACAAAGTGAAGCAGCAGTACAAGTAATCACTACTCTTTGGCTTAATATATATACACACGTATCGTATGTCTGTGATGCTTTAGTGTTTCTATATATACACGTATCGTATCGTATTTGCCCCCCGGTAAACACAAAATCCACTACTAGGGGACATATTTTGTAATCTAAATATATTGCAATTCTTTATATAGGGACCGAGTAAATTTTGTTATGATGAATGTTGACAATACGAAATGGGAACAAGAGCTCGACGAATTTGGTGTTGAGGGTATCCCACATTTCGCGTTTTTGGACAGAAAAGGTAACGAGGAGGGGAATGTGGTGGGGCGCCTTCCAAGACAATACTTGCTCGAAAACATTGATGCCTTAGCTCGTGGAGAAGAAACTATACCTCATGCTCGTGTGGTTGGACAATTTTCGAGGGCTGAATCTAGAAAAGTACGTCCGGTTTCTGATCCAAGAAGCCATGGCTAGAAAATTCCAGGTTAGTTTTGTTGAATCGAAAACTCTTGGGTTGGAAATATGTTTACAGTGGAATATAGATTTAACTTATTTTGATGTCGAAATAAGTATATAAACTGTATATCGTGTGTGTAAAATAGAAATTTCCAACCTGCTTTTATTGAACTTTAGTTGAATTGGTCCAGGTATTGTGTATATCTATCTATATTGTTATTTGTTATAATTTTTAGTTTACATTTTTAGTCGAACACTCGTGATCGTTACAAACAGACTGGACTTCAAAATCGATTGAATTAAAGCTGAATTTGTCTAACCTGGTATTGCGTATATCTGTCGTTCATTTACACACACGATAATGAAGCTTCACGCGATCGATGATCACGTGTTCTGCTTAACGATTTCCTTTTTTCTTTCTTGAATATTTTATCATTCTTGTTATAAATCTTTGGTTAATTACTATTCAACACCTTTCTTAAACTGTGTCAAAATTATTAATAAAATAATACAAAAAAAGAATTATAAATCATATTTTATTATGAACTTTGTAAAAAAAAAATTAAAATTCTAATTTTCAAATTTCAGTTCTTTTGGACCAAAAAATGACTAAAAAAAGATCACATGTATACACAAATAAAGGTTCAAAAAAGAAGCAAAAAATATTCAGCCTAACCGAGCTCCTTTACCCAACAAGCTGTTAGTTGATGGTGAGCTCTGTTCACTCAGCCAAGGATCCTGTACAGAAACCGGCGAACTCTCCTCCACCAATGGCAGTGTGCCACCTGGCGCCTTCACCGGAACAACCAACCTCCTACTCCCCACCCCAACCTTCTTATTTAACGATCTCTCACTCCCCTCGTAAGGCGACGAACAAGAAGATGCCACCGAAGATCCCATAACATTCTCGTCCAATGGGGCCCACCCGCTGAGCCTGATCTGCTCGAGCTCATCCGCCACCTCCACCATCGAGGGCCTCATATCCCTATGAAAAGCGAGGCACCTAAACGCCAGTTCAGCAACCTTGTGAATTGACGATAACGTCCACGCGTCCCGATTCGGGTCGAGAAACGGGTCGAATATCTCGTCGACCCGCCCTTTTCCGATCCGGTCAATGGCGAGGGCGGCCAAATTGACCTCGCTGTGGGCCCGCGAAAAGTCAACCGCTTTCATGGCGGTGATTATTTCCACTAGCACGACTCCGAAGCTGTACACGTCGCTCTTGTCAGAAAGATGGAAGTTTTGATGGTATTGCGGGTCCACGTACCCGGGTGTGCCTTGTGGGGCCGTCGAAATGTGTGAGTCATCGGTCATGCCGATTCTCGAGAGGCCGAAATCGGCAACTTTCGAGTTGAAATTGAAATCCAATAGAATATTACTCGACTTTATGTCTCGGTGGTAAATTGGAGGGTTCGTGGACGAGTGGAGGTGTGAGATAGCGTGGGCCGTCTCGGCGGCTATCGTGAGCCGCACGGTCCACGGGAGAACGGAGCCCCTCTCTCTCTGCAGATGCTGAGAGAGGGTCCCGTTCGGCATGTACTCGTAAACGAGGATTTGTTCCCCATTTTCGATGCAGCAACCCAAGAGGCGGACCAAATTGGGGTGGCTCACGGAGGATAGTAGCTTTATTTCATTCATGACTTGGTCAATGCTTTCATGGTCACGGTATCTTAGTTTCTTGATGGCTACGCACTCGTTGTTGTGGAGCTTTCCCGCGTAAACGGTGCCGTAGGCACCAATTCCGAGTCTTTGTTTTTCGGAGAAGCCAAACGTGGCCCTCTCGATTTCTCTGTAGGGGTAGAACGGTACACTTGGGTTTCCCCCCGCTTCGCTTATGAGGCGCTTTGTGCTTAATCGGCTCTTTAGAGTTGCGTTGCGTCTCCTCACGCAGTAGTAGATGACCGCTAGAGCAACCATCAACAACGCTCCGGCAATAATCCCTATTAAACAAAATGGATTTTAATCAATAGTTACATTTAGGAATTATAATACTTACTATTTACGATGGATGAATTTAATCATTTATCAAGAAAAGATAGAGGAAAAAATACCTCCGATAAGAATGCCAACTCGAGATCCGCCACATCGGCCGGACATGTATCTTCGAGCACCACAATCGGATACTGATACACGTGAAAATCGATAATGAAAAAAAAGTTAGTAGGTTGTTACATGTACTTTTTCACAGTTCACTACATCATTTATATATATATATATATATATATATATATATATATATATATATATATATTTAACTAAACTAAAAACGCAGAGGTATTATTGTTCTAAATTCTAATAGTTCGACTTCGTTCACATCTACTATCAGTTTACGAGCAGTATCAACAACATCAAATATTCAAATTTTTCAGAATCTTATTTGACTAATATTCGAGATTATTTCGGAATCTCTCTTTCCTCTGACTTTCATGTACATCTGATCAAATCTCTCTAGTTACCATGTGCTCCTCGTATTTTTCATTAGAAAAACGAACAGAATTGCGTAAGCTTTGACTTACGCGATTATCCAATTAGCAACTAGCAAATTGCCAATTAATAAAGTACTTATAATCCTAATTAGCAAATCATACTTTAATCATAGTATATTATATGGCCACAGTCAACCTCCTTTTTGGTTATTCTATGTATCTTTCTTTACTTTCTTTTTCCATTTCATTTAATTAATTACCAACAAATCATTTTTCGACAAATGCTACTCCAACGATACGAAACTCAACGAGCACGCTTTAGACAAGTCACCTTCTCACCTGCCGATGATGTAAGAATTAAGAACCATACTCTATTAACCTCTCAATAATTTAACAAAATTTTCACTTTGCTTAAATTGAATGTCGAGTTTTTAACTTAAGTAAAACGCTGCGTATATATTGTTCAACTAACAACGAAGACGAACTTTCTGAGTTTCAAATTCAACTGTATTATCCAATCCAGTCCAACGAAAGATGGCAATGAACAGGTCAATAATTCCAACTCCCTCAGTTCACATTGGTCAAAAATTCAATTAACCCATCCGAAAACATGAACTCCATATACGACCAAAATAAACAATTTAAATATTCCAATTTTTACGATTATTTTAAATCAAGTAGCGCATAATAAAAATAAACGGAACTGACCTCTCCGGCAACCTCTCCCATCGGAAAAACCATCTCCGACGAATCCTTCTCTACACTTGCAACGAAACCCTATCGTACTTCCGTAATCAACCTTATTACAATCGGCATTAGGATCACAATCACATTTCCCATCAGCCCACCACCCGAGCTCCAACATCTGAAAATTCATCGCAATCGAAGTGCTGCCACTAAAGCTACTCGCGTCGTCACTCAAATCCACCATTATCGAAGAAAGAAGAACACCGCAATCCCCTTTCTTCCCCACTTCCTCATAATCCAAAAACTCAGCCGTATCATCGGGCCCACCCGAATAACAGCTAATATTATTATAATTATCATTTTTTGCGCCGAAATCGCATTTTTCGAACTTGATCCGAGAGCTGAGCAATCGTCGAGGGATCACGCAGTCGTTGATCGGCACATTGCAGTTCTCCAACAGAAGCCCGTTGCGCCACGTGGGCGCGAAGTTCGGCCCGAAGAGCTTCGACAGCTCCCCGATCGGACGGCTGCAATTTGCCGGGAGGCTGACCAGAATCTGATCGGAGGTCACGTTACGCACATCGAAGCCGCTGATTTCGATTTTCTCGGAGGCGGTGCTGCAATTCAGCTTGATTCTGCACGCGTCGGTGAATCCGAATGGGTATTGAACACGTTTTCCGCCGCATAATTGATTGCACGCAGATGAATTGGCGCTCTGTGAAAACGAATAGAGGGGTAGAATTGAAATTACGAGCAGCGGAGTGATGATTTGGTGGAATAGAAGAATCATTGTGTGTGTGTGTGTGTGTGGAGTTGGAAATTGGGGGAAAAAGGATCAAAAGCTTTTCAGCATGATGAAAAAGTTGACTTGTGGAGAAAGCATTAATGGCGGAAAAATTAAATGGGAGGGGGGAGCAGTTGATACTGGTGGGGAGGAAAATTAAATGCTTATTAATGCGGGGGGCGAACTGTAAATTTGAATAATCGGAGCTGAATTTCAAGTTTTTGATTTCTTCTCCGCTGCAGAGAAAAAATGGTTTGATTTGCAGAGAAAATTGGTCGAAGACGAAGTGTGTGTGTTTTGGGTGGTGTGTTAGTGTGTGAAATAGAAGGGAAGGTTTATTCGTAAATAGTGGGGAGTTGCGATTTTGCGCGTACAGAAATTGCAGATGTGAAATGACGGTTTTAGCCTCGTGGATTTTTGGATATTTCGGAGTGATGATGGATTTTTGACTATTTGTGCTTTATTATTAGAGGTTTTCTTAATATGTTGATTAGTATATAAAAATATAGATAGGGATTTGTTTGAATTGGTCTAGCTATCTAGAATGAATAGGATTGACTGCTTGTGGATAGGGGTGGGAATTGAATGGAATTTAAACTTTTGGGGAAAAAAAATTAATATGAAAAATCAAAAAAAAAAATTGAAAATGGAAAAAAAAAAAAAAAATTCGGTTACGTTTTCGGAAAGAATTGGAAGTTGTAATTTTTGAAATTGAATTGAAAAGAACATATGGTCCCAAATTCGGAAGGGAAAAAAAATTGAACCGGAATCGACGGAATTCAGAAATTTTGTTTTAATTTCCATTGATAATTGTGGTTTTGGATTGATATGTTTGAAAATTGAAATTATTGACTTTGTTTACTTTTTTTTTTTTAAGAAGAGAAAATTTTATTAGACAATATTGGCCAAATCATACGGAAGCGTTAGTCATTCTAGTGTATCAATACATTGAAGATGAGCAAGAGCGTGGGCTAAAGAATTGCCCGAACGCTTAACAAACGAGAAAGAAAAGCTCGAGAAAACATTTGCTAAATAAATGCATTTATCGATAATTGCACCGAATGGTAACATGTCACCTCCACCCGATCGAAGTGCCTAAATCACCTGCAAAGAATCACCCTCGAAAATAACTTTGTTTACTTATAAGCTCATAACCAGGGGTGTGCATTCGGTAAATCGTACCGAAATTTTGGTATGCCAATATTTCATACTAATTATCTGAATTGAAATATGCAATTCGGTTCAGTGAATAACCGAATTATCGAAATTTTATTAAAAAAATTTAAAATTTTGAATTCTATTTATTTTTATAGATTTTAGTATTAAAATAATATATTTTAGTATAAATATTAATATTATATATATAAATAACATAATAAATAAATAAAAATCAGTATTCGGCAAAACCGAATTATCGGAATTTCGGAAACCAAAAATTCGAATACCAAACCGAATAATGAAAAAAAATTACTCCACTTTGCAGTGTAATTGTAATATCAATTAGGTGTTAAAAATGGAAATCAAAGCATAGTGTTGACTTGGTCAAAATTAAATTAGTGAGAAACCCACCAGCTCAATATATTGACACTCTTTGGGCCGAACTTAATTTGGTGGTGGGCCTCATGGGCCACTACTTATTGCATTTGCCTCCTTCCTACCTAACTTTACGTTAATTTATTATACAAAATAATTTAATTGAAAAGATTTACCCATTTTTTGTCGTCTAATAGTTTTTTTTTTTTAATATTGAAAAAAGGATGAAATTTTGTATTATTTTTTGTTTGTAAGAAAATATAGTCCTTCAGGGTTTATACTATGCTATATCGGGTGAAATACTTCGGGTAGATTTTTATCATTCATATGCACACAAACACGCACATATTCATATTGGTGTGTGTAGGTGAACGGTAAAAATTCACTCGGTATAACCTTCACCAGGTGTATCATAAAAATAACCGAACAAAAGTCCGATCGAATCGAGCCGAACAAAAAAATGTACATGCCAGATTACCAATCCTTTATTTGGTGTGGTATATATATATATATATATATATATATATATATATATATATATATATATATATATATATATATATATAATTAAAAAAGATAAAAAAATAAATTTTTTTTGAATATTTTTAATAAAATTTTGATAATTCGGTTATTTATCGAAACAAACGGTACTGTATGAAATTTTGGAGAACCGTAATTTTTGTACAATTTTACCGAATGAACGTTCCCCGAAATTTATCAATTGGGGGATTTTTTCGTAAAATAATTAATAATTAAAAGGGAGCTTGTACTTACGCAACATATGAATTTTTTTTCGTAATTTAACCATACTTAGGTGTGGTAGTAATTTGGCCAATAACTAAGTAACGGTAGTAAGATGAAAATATTTCAAGTTAAAGTGTCCCTAAAAAAAAAAAAAGAAAAAAGAAAAAGAATAGTAATCAAGTGAATGACTAAACTACCCCTATTACCAAAGCATCTGATGTTTAGCTCTCTTGCGGTGCGCCTGACCGCATAGTATATTTATCCAACATCGCAAAATCCCAAACCCTAGAACCCCGAAAAATTCATTCTTTCTTCTTCGGATTTCAATTGAAGCGAAAAAAAGTATGTCGGACAAAGAAATGGACAGCGAAACCGATGCTCCCGAGGAGTTTTCCGTTCAACAGGTTTATTCAATTCTCGGCGAAAACCCTAATCGAAATCTTTAATTGCAGCTCTAACTTTTTTTTTTTTTTTTTTTTTTTAAATTATTTTTTAGGGGATGCAACAAGACGAAGAGATAACAAAAGTTCAAAGAGAACATAAGGCCAGGTATTTGATAAAATGCCAACAGTTTGATTGAAGTAATTGTTTATGAATATTGTAGAAAAAATATTAATTTTTTTTTTATGTAGGTAGTGGGAATGTTTCAGTGAGTTTCGATTTAGATTAAATGAATTGCTAATACTATTGGAGAAGGGGAAACTATATTTTTGCTGGGCAATGGTATATTGGTAATTATCCCTTTGAAGATTTACTGTTGAAGGTTTTAAAAAATATAATGAATTCGATTATGTTCTTGGTATCGAAAATTGGGTTTATGTGGATTTTGTTGTTCTCGTGTTCGTCTTGAATATATAATGGGCATTTATAAAACCCCCAAATTTTTACTTTGCCGATTCACTATCGACTCTTTCGGCTAATTCGTTTATATAGAAGATTGTTTAGGTATACGCTGCTGATATTGTATCACTACACTTTCGTTTCTACGTTATGGTTTTTTAATTTGCCCGGTTCTTTGCGACTGCAGAAGATGGATTTTATTGTTGTTGACATATAATTTTTAGATGGTATTTTCGGACATGATTAAATAAGACAAATTTTGAGACATTGTTGAGGAATCGTGTTATTATGTCCTAACAAATGAAAGGAAACTCTTATAGGGTAGTTCGCGAGAGTAAAGAACGCCGAAGACAGTGGGCCCAAAAGTTGACCCCAAAATCGGTGCCCAAAGAAGAAAGCACGAAAGACGAACCGGAACCGGAAACAGAGGCACGAGAAGAAGGGCCGTCTAAGGGTAATAACAACAATGGAATGCTACCAGATGATATTGTAAAACTCCTTGCTGCTCGTGAGAAGTATGTTTTTTGTATTTTTGCGTGTCTATGTGCGTGTATTGTATTGTGTGTATATATTATGAGATGTTAATGTAAAATGTGTATCTATCGTTATGCAGAAAAGTTTTCGCATCGGATTCTGAGGATGAGAAAGACGATGATAAGACCGCCTCGAAAAAGAGGAGACTAAAGAAATCTGGGTATGTTCCGTCTCTCTCTCTCTCTCACATACACACACACACACACACACACACATGGGAGATGAATAGTACAGATAAACCTCTATAAATTAATACAGTCGGGACTAGGGAAATTCTATTAATTTAGCGAATTATTAAAATTATCGAGTTAATAATTTAACACATTTTCACCGAGTCGGGACCGAGAGAAACTATTATTTAATTGAGGTTATTAATTTATCGAGGTTCTACTATATATATAGAAAACTGTTTTTAAATAAAATTTGTTTTTGGTTTGACAGATCGGGGCCTGTTATTTTGAAGGAAATACCAGCTCCACAATGCGTACAAAATTCACTGGATTTTCTCGAGAAACGAAAAATGCAGATTCCGAGATCTTCAGCAGTTTTGAAGAATTCAAAGCAAGCACTGCGCCTTCTTTCGGCGTCTGGCTTGCTAAAGTAAGAACTCGTCAAATTTTGCAATTTTAACTTACTTCAGTCGAAGCGTGCACTTTAATGAAAGCTTTACCGGATCTTGAATGAGATAGATACAAGCCTGTTGTATGGATTTTTATTTGAACTTGTGAACTAAGAACTAAGAACTATATTCAAATTGTCACATTCTGATCCCAAAACAAAATTAAAAAATCAAATTGTCACATTTTTTTTTTCCTTTTTTACATTTCTTGAGAAAATCATATTACATTGGTTGCTTGATTTTTATAATATATACATTGTGAATAAACATGGCTCGATTGTCTAAAAATCGAGGAAAATTTATAACAAAAATATTATATTCTATAATGTATATAGTAGGATGATATTTAGCACGGACACAAAATCGGTGATACGAACATGTAAATATTAGAAGTATAGAGGTGTATTTATGAATATGCTATATAAACATATATAAGATTTTATTCTTGCATAAATTCTTTTTATACGTTTCTTTACAAATTTATTCAAAATAAATATTATTTTCATCTATCAGTTTACAATTGATAATTAAATCATGTAAACAATTAGGGAAACACCAAAAATATTTAGAAATTCGCAATTCAAATATTGTTAAGACTATGAAGCTTCCGTGCAATATACTTAGGATGTTAACTAATTATTAATTGAATTACCAAAAAAAGAAAAAAAGAAAGATCTTAATTAATTAATGGCCGTACTTTCTTTTACATGACGAGATATAATATCAGCCACCCTTCGAAAAAAATGGTTTGTTCTCTCTCTCTCTCTATCTCTCTCTCTCTCTCTCTCTCTCTCTCTGCATCCTTGTTTCTCTCTCTATCGATTTCATCGAACGAACAATCAATCTTCGTCTTCATCGTTTCGCGCAACCCTTTCTTGATTTGAAATTTCATCATCAGCATAAATAATATATAGAGATACCAGATCAACTGATGAAGAAGAATTCAACCACCGCCGCCTCGAATCATAACTATAACATGGTGGCAGCATCCGATTCCAACACCCTGTCGAGCAGACGACAAAGACCACCCACCACCACCAACAACAACAACAACCCCTTCCACCCCACCGCCGCCGGAGAAGAACAACCACACCGCTTCAGCACCGCCTCCGACACCGCCACCGCCTGCGACGACCTGTCTCCTCCGACGACTGACATCAATAATAATCCCAACCCATCATTCGACATCACCTCCGCATCGCCGCTCTCGAAATCTCCGTGGTCCTCTCAGGTGGCCCCCGAATCTCACTCCCACACCTGCCTGAGAGGCTCCCTCGTCAGAAAAGAAGGCCACATTTACTCGTTAGCCGCCACGGGCGATCTCCTCTACACGGGCTCCGAGAGCAAGAATATCCGTGTATGGAAAAACCAGAAAGAATTCTCTGGGTTCAAATCCGGATCCGGGTTCGTCAAATCCATCATCATCGCCGGAGAAACAATATTTACCGGACACCAGGACGGCAAGATCCGCATCTGGAAAGCCTCCAGAAAGGACCCGAGCCTCCACAAACGAATCGGAACCCTACCAACTTTCCGAGCCAAATTCAAAAGCTCGTTCAATCCGAGCAACTACGTGGAGGTGAAAAAACACCGCAACGCGATTTGGATCAAACACACTGACGCGATTTCGTGCCTCAGTTTGAGCGAAGACGGGTCGCTTTTATACTCCGGCTCGTGGGACCGCACTTTTAAAGTGTGGAGGATTTCAGACTCCAAGTGTCTGGAATCGGTCAAGGCGCACGAGGATGCGGTCAACGCTGTCGCTGCTGGTTTCGATGGGTTATTATTCACGGGGTCCGCGGACGGGAGCGTAAAAGTTTGGCATAGGCAAATTGAAGGGAAGGGAGTGACTAGGCATTTTCTTTCCCAAACGCTGTTGAAGCAGGAGAGTGCGGTGACTTCTCTGGCCGTGGACCCCGCAGGCAGCGTGCTGTACTGTGGGTCGTCTGACGGCCTGGTCAACTTCTGGGAGAGGGGGAAGTTTCTTTCGCACGGCGGGGTTCTGAGGGGCCACAAGTTGGCGGTGATGTGCGTGGCGGTGGCGGGGGATTTGGTGTTCAGCGGGTCGGCCGATACGAGTATCTGCGTGTGGAGGAGGGATCGGGAGGGCGGGGGGCATGTTTGTCTAGCGGTGCTGACGGGGCATGGTGGGCCCGTGAAGTGCCTGGCGGTGGAGGAGGAGAAGGGGTCGAATAATTGGGGCGGCGGCGGGGGACGGCGGTTTATGGTGTATAGTGGGAGCACGGATAAGTCGGTGAAGATATGGAGGGTGTTGGAGCAAGGGGAAGCCATGCAGCCTCCGGCGGTGGTTACGCCGCCATCGGCATGGCGGCGGCGGCAGCAACAGTACGTGGAGAGTAACGGCGGGGGGTGGTCGGATTTCTCTTTTGTTCAGACTTCGGAGCTTCTCCATGCAAGATAGGTATATATATATATCTTGCATGAATTAGCGTACTAATTGTGTGAAAGTAGAAAATCTTGTTTGCATGTGTATCTGTGCTTGCATGGCACGTGATTGACAAGATTAATTCTTTTTATTTTTATTATTTTTTTCCTTTTCTCTCGTGCAGTAAACATGGAAATTAAACTACATGCAATGTTGGATTTAGAGAGGTAGATTAAATAACTACCTAATAAACGCACATACACATAGGTGCGTGTGTGATTATATGTAGATCTAGTGTTCGTATCCATCTAGTACAAATAACAAGGTGTAGCATTTAATTTCGTATTGAATTGAATTCATAGGTTGCAATATGCTTGAAATGTCTTTTTAGGAAGGACAATGGGGATTATAGTTTTAGTACATCAATATTTTGTTTTATGCATATCCTCATTCTTGAAATTGTAATATTTACTAATAATGGAGAGATTTTATGCATACATCATATATATACATGTTAATAAATAAAAAAAAAAAAATATGTACTATTATCGATGAACCTTGTAATATTTGAGATCGGTTGATTAAGAGGGTGTTTGGAAAGCTTATAAGATGTTAAAACCGTAAAGTAAAAAATAAGCTATTAGAGATCTTATAAGATATTTTTTGTTATATTACTAACACCCCACCTTTTTTCAAATATCAAATAAGCTTAGCCAAACAGGCTCTAAGTAATTTGCGTAAATTTGTTATAAGTTGTATTGAACTCGAGTCAAATCTAATTTCTAAAAATCGTATTGAGCTTGATTTGAACGTTGATCGGATCGAGTTTGAACAAGTTGCCCAATTAACCTGATTGTTACATATATTTTCCTCGTTACCACCAAAATTCAGCTCGAGCCAAACTTCGAGTCTCATCGGAAAAAAAATAAAGGAAAAAAAATTCAAACTTGATTTGTTATGTTTAAAAAAAACGAACTGAAATTAATTTCTATTAATCGACCTCGATTCTGCTTTCAGCAAGTACAATATTTTACATACATAGTAGTAACTACAACTCTTCTACAACATGGATTATGATCCAAAATCAAGAAATAGTAGTGAAAAAAAAAAAAAAACTCGTTTTTCTACCGTCTTTTTTTTTAACCTTCGTATGCGCATGTGTAAGAATTCCCGACAGCGAAAATTAGAACACACCCTAAATAACCTCAGTCAGCCACAAAACTATATCTCGCCTGCTCCTTTGTGCTCAAAAGAATATTCTTGCAAGCCCACCCTAATCCCGACATATTATCGATTAAAACATCAAGATCAGCTTGTGCAAACCTCTTGCTTTCGTTTATCAATAATAACCATTCGCTAATAACTGAATTTAACGAGTCACAATCTTCAAAACAATAATCCTGATTGTTTATATCGCGCAGTAGTCCCTTTCGTATGTAACAAGCCTATATATGCCCGTAAAATCATCAAAATAAGACATTAAAAAAAAATCTTGCTTACGTGAAAATTAAGATTAATTAGTCGTAGAAAGACATTTTTTTAACCTGTAATAATCCCATGATAACATCTGACGTGGCAGCCCCTTCCCGTAGAGAGAGAAGAATCCCATGCTGCAAATAAAAAATAAATCTTGAATTTTTTTTTTAATGAAAAATGGCAGCATAAAAAGCTGTATTAAATTACGTACATCTTTTATTGCCGATCGATTATTTATGCTCTCCATGCAAATGAAGTAGAAATCATCGTCTTTTAAAAATCTCAATGTGGTCAAAGATAGCTTCGGTATTTTTCTCTCGGGATTTAAGCATCCGATTCTAATAGGTAGTAGCTCCCTGCCTAAATCAAATGTAATTTAATAATTAATAAATAAATAAAAGGCCGTATCGAATTCTGAGAAAGTTCAAATGTAAATTCACATGTAATTTTGGTTAAATGCAAAAAAAAAAAAAAAAAAAAAAAGTTCTTACCTTTGCTCCACATGAAATTAATACCTTCCTTTGTACTCACTTCAGCTGGTGAAGGAATATACTGTCGATGAATCCAGATATTTATTACTGACTCGAGCCGATCCTGCACGAGAATGTATTCGAAAAAAGACGAAATTAATTGCAAAAATATATAATTATATTCAGTTTAAACAAAAGTGGGAACGAAATATTTCGTGCAAAATAAAAAGGACTAACCTTCGTTAGTGTTTGTAAATGAACGTGTTTTAACCCTTGATAAATCCCGTAAAGGTCGAAAGCAGAGAAGATTGGATACACGACAAATGGTAGAGCTGCCAACATCCTATCACACAATCGAGAAATTAAAAAACCATAAAAAAGCAAGATTAATAAACGAGCAAATTAACCGCAAAAATTTATCCCACACTTTTGTTTTTTTTTTTAAATTAATTTTTTCTAATATAATTTAGGGTAAATTACAGCAGCCCCCCTGAGGTAAGGTCAAATTACCGAGAAAAAAAAACCCTGTTAGGGCAATTACAACCACCTCTCAAAAAAAATAAAAAATCCTACACTTTCACCCTTGCATTGTCAAATTTAGTGGAATCTTGTAGATTATGTGGAATATTCTCCAGTTTGTACCTGTTTTACCCCATCCGAGCTCCACATTATGAAACAAGATGATCATAACGTGTGTCTATTGGCTTGTATATATCAGATCGTGGTGCATCAGAAACTGCATGTTTACACAAAACGAGTACAAACTAGAGAATATTCCATATGTTGAATTTGACACCATAAGGGTGGACGTATAAGAAGATTCATAGTTGAAGGGTGGTTGCAATTATCCAAACAAGAGGGGTTTTTTCGTAATTTGACCTTACCTCATGGGATGGCCGTAATTTACCCTATAATTTAAGATAAACAGGAGAAGCAAACCTTTGATTGTTTCTGAACAAAATGTTGAGGGTAGCAGCAAGAAGAAGACCAACGTTATCAAAGCACACCGTTTGAATCTGGAATCGAACCAAGAATCAAATATACACGAAAAGAAGGAAATTTATTTAAAATATTTTAAAATTGTAATATGACGCCATTATAACTAATACACACCTGGGCTTTTGCAGAAACTTCGCCAATATTATCCGAAATGGCAAAGCTTCTGTGAACAGCAGACTGTCAAACACGATAAATTGGATATTTCCGTCACCATATACACAACGTATTTAGTAAATTAGGGATCAAAAAAATTATTAAATATCAAATGTTTATTCCCTCATTTTTTCGGGATAATTGTAAAGATTCGACTTTTAATTCATATGAACGACGATATGTTGAAAACTTACACCGGTTGCTAAATAGCAAGCGAGGCTTATTTGCTTAGCAATGTTAGCTATCGTTGCGAGAAGCAGAAAGTATTTCGGGAAAACGGGAGTCAACAGCTCAACTCCGATACTCAAGCTGAAAAGGACAGATGTCGAAAATCTAACCCTCTTCAATAAAAAAAAATATAAAAAATTGTTAGCAATACATTGAAAAAAAAAACATGAAAATATTGAAGGGAGAAAAGAACAATGTACCTTGAGATTGGTATCGAAAGCTGAAGCAAGGGTAGCGGTGTAAATGCAGCGGCTGAGCCGCCCAAGCCCGTCTTTTAAAACCCAATTTAGAGCGGCGGCAGATGGGAGTGCACGAGAATAGCCGATTCCTATAGCTCGAAACATTGCCTGATTTTGACCATTCAAATATCATAGTTAATCCTGAGTCAATACATGCAAGATAGTCAGAGTAATTCGGGACAAAATAAATAAGTTAATACACACAATGACATGCATATAATTCATCAGTTTTCAAAATCATTACAGCAAGCAAGATTCCGAAATTTACAAACAAATCTAACCTACAAGCAACTCCAAGGATTAAGATTAAATCAATAACATGATTAGGGAAGTCAAAATTAAATCGTATCCTAATTAGATAAAGACTTAAACTTCACCACATTCAATTGAAAAAAAAAATCAACCCAAATTCAATTCAAAAATCAGAAATTCGTCACTAGTCATCATACACAACAAACCAAAACTCTACAAAATTAGTGCAGAAGTTTACAAAGAACATGGTTTTGCAAGAAAATCAAGAACATGATTAAGGAAGTCAAATTAAATCCACCCTAATTAAATAAAGACTCGAACTTCACCACATTCAATTGAAAAAAAATAAAATACCGAAATTCAATCGAAAAATCAGGAATTCGTCGATAATCATCATACACAACAAACCAAAACTCTACAAAATTAGTGCAAAAGTTTACAAAGAACATGTTTTTGCACGAAAAACAAGAACATGACAAAATTAAACCATCCTAATCAAATAAAGACTTGAACTTTACCACATTCAATTGAACCAAATTCAATCGAAAAATCGGGAATTCCTCGATAATCATCGAAAAGTCGGGTACCTGAGTAGCAAGAACTTGTAGAGCGGAGCTGAAAACTCGGTGCAAGAACTTCCACTTGACATACTCCAAATAATTCCCACTCACTTTTCTCGGCAGGAAGAAATTCCTCACAGCAGCCGTACAAAACCTGCCGAATTTCCTAACCCCATCTTCAAAACTCAGAGAAGAATCCCACATCGAAAAATCATCACTCCCATCAACGGCGACGAGTTTCAGCTCTTCTCCGTCCCAAAAACACCTCGAAACGGCGCCGTATCCGGCGTCGCCGCCGCGTATCGCGACGGGGAGCTTGAATTTATCTGGGTTTCCGTCGTCGGCGAGGTGGTGGGTGGTGTTGAATTTTTCTTCGTGTTGATATCCATGGCTGAGTTTGAACGAGGTTGTGCTTAGCGAGTTCGACAGAGCCAAGGGTTTGAGTGAGGGTTTTGGTTTGATGGGTTTTTTTAGGGTTTTGATGAGGTCGTATTTTAGAGCCCACGTGGGGAATATTTGTGAATTTGAAGGCGCGTGTGCCGCCACCTTCATCACTACCAACAGTGGTGTGTGAACTCTGTAAGTACTCACTGTGTGTTGTGTGTGTTTTTTCAATTTTTGGTGCAAAAAAGAGATGGAAGAGTATGCCCTAGACAAAGGCTATTTTGGTCATTTCCTAGTCTTTTGGTCTATAAAATGGGAAAAAAATTCAAACTTTATTTTGTTCGGACAAGAATTTAGAGATTTGGTTTCAAGATTGATTTTTTTCAGGCAGCAGCATTATGTGCAGCAGAAGAGTTATTACTTCTGCAATGGAAGTTTCTATTGCCTCATTTCTAATTTATTTGAACTTTGAAGGATCATATGTTGCAAATGATTGCATACCAAATGAGGCAAGGGAAAGAAATGGGAAATCGGAATTAAATTTTTTATTCCAAAATCGGAAAAATTTAAATCGAAATTAACGAATTATTATAAAATATATATAATAATTGGAATTTACGGAGATAAAATCGAATCGGAAATTGGAATCTCGTATATAATCCAATTCCGGCCGACAAAAAATCGGAATAATTGAAATGAAAAAAAAGTTATTGTTCCAAAATCGATAATTTTCAAATCAAAATCGGCAGGTGCACAAAATTTAGTTTCGATATACCAGTTTGACTCTACAAGAAGGGGAAAAAAAAACAATAATCTTTTCTACTTTCTGTTGTTGTAGTTCATTTTTATTTATACTGATTTTTTTATCATAAAACTCAGAACAAAACCAGGGAAGTTATTTTCTAACTATAAAATGTATGTCATTTTCTAAGTACTCAAATTCATTAAAAAAAAAAAAACATTATCCTTAGAACAAGAGATAAGATCAAGACAACCAAATCCTATTACACTAATCATCAATAAATAGAAACCTGATTGTGACAGAAATACAAAAGTAGTTGAACAAAGAACAAGAAAAACCACAAGTGAAAATCTCTTGTAAAAAAAATATACAGTAAAAGAATGTATATGAAAAACAAGCAAGAACAAGATGAATTTTTTATACAGCAGAAATCAAATTCGTGTCAACAACTCACTGTGGAAACTATCTGCTTTTAGTTCATCAAACTATAATATATGAAAAAAATAAAAATCTAAAACCCAAACTCTACCGAACGAATCGAATCTACGCAAAGGCGAACGATATATATAAATAATCCAAACAACGAAAAAGAATCAACCCCCTTTTTTTTTTTTTCGTTTCTCATTCTTCGATTTCCTCTGCAACCGGCGTAAGCATACCACCCTCTTTCACAAAAGTCGAATCGAGAAACTTAGCGACAAACGCCCACAGCTTATACACATCGTCGAAATTAGTCAAGAACCCGAGCGAAGCAGTGACAACTTCAACCCTCACAAACCCACTCTTGCCGTTTCCCATCGGCCTGCAAAGGGTAGTTTCGTCAATACATAAAGACCCACGGTCCCTTTTCGAACCATCCATCACCCGTATGTGACTTAGTATCCCGAGACTAAGACGAATACCGTGCGCCTCAGCCAGCTTCTGCACAACCTCCGGCCCGATAAGACCGCGGGTCCCGTCCCTCACGTTGAACGCCAGCGCAGCGCCCCTCTCGTACTTGATTTTCGGACCGTAGATATGAACGAGCGGCTTACTTTCCTCTCCGTTGGTACTAGGTAGCCTTAATTGCAGCATCGAAGTGACAAGCCAATTAATCAAGAATCGAAGCCGAGAAGTTGTTTTATTTAATCCCAACATATTTATATGATCGAGATGCTTCAAGATTATCTCCGGCTCCGCCCTCTCCGATTCTTGATCCTCGTAATCTCCATTGCTGATGTCATCATCGTCGTCGTCGTCGTAGTTGTCTAAATTAGCCGGAGACCCTTTTGTGCTAACGTGAGCCCTGTAGTTGTCTTCTGTGCTAAACGACACCCTTCTCTCTTCTATCCCGAAAAATCTACTTCCGCCACCAATTCCGCTCTTTTCTCGTCTCTCGAGTAACCTAAAATCACCTTCCGTCTCTCGTCTTATTATTGCACTATCTTTCGCCATGATTGAGTTCTTGATTTCAGGTTCTTCCTCGATTTCTTGAGAATGCCGATTATCGGGGGTCCTGAACTGGTCTCTCTCTGCAAATTGATCTTCTACATGAGACATCGATCGAACAGCAGCATCGAACGATCCTACATTACAGTCATCGTAATTCGGTTCCTTGTCATAAACTGGGCTGCCTGATAATTTCGAGGCCTTCGAAGAAGCCGAAATCAACTTACTATTATTATTATTATTATTATTACTATTCTTCCGGCTAGAAAACCAAGCGGGCGGTAATGGAGAGGAGGCATTATGTTTGCTATCGTGGGCCCCATTTTCCGACCCGAGAGGGCTCTGCCCCAAATCGATCCACAGCGAGTTATCCGAAGACTCGTCTTCGCTATAGACGGGACTTTTCATAACATCCCCAGCATAATTACTCTCTGTTTCTTCGGGTATAGTGCTCGCTCCATCTCTATCGGAGCTATTATCGTGCTCCATTTCGCTCTCGAAAACATCCCTCACCTGAGCAGAAGTGTACGCGCCTGAAAAGGCCGGCAACTGGTGGGGCCCATGTCGATTTTCGGGGTCGGATTCGCCTGCGGGGCCCGCTTCTTGTTCGTCTTCATCTTCATCGAAACCCACGAAATTATCCATCGAGTCGCTCAAGTACAGAGGAAAAACAGGAGTGATCTTGACCATACCTGAACCAGCATGGCCAGACTGATTCTGAAGGCTTCCCATAACCGATTTCTTGATCAGCAAGCAACCGAATCCAGACGGATCGAATCCAAAGACCCTGTAAAAAGATGTAATGATGAAATCCGGTCTGAAAAGGGACAATCCGAGCGAATCCATGTCCTTCGGGCCTAATGCACCAGCATCGAGCAAAACATGCCAGTTGTTTTGCTGTGCCAAAGCCATCCATTGATACGAGTATTTCGCACCTGTAACCCTAGACTGAACTGGGAAGACGAAAAGACCCGATGCGGAATCTTTTTTACGTTTCTTTTTGTTCGAAATTTGCTTTCGTAAGTCGGTCGAACACAGTTTCAGAGTGGGCCATTTGAACCATGCGCTTTGGACTTTCGCGCCTTTCTCCTTCGCGCTCTGAGCCATCCAATTCACCGATTGGCTCTCGTGGTCAAACATGGTCAACAGCTTCTTGTTCGTCTGAAAAGGGTACGATTCTGCCAGCAGTTTAAAAGCCGAGCCACGACTCACGGTGAAAACAAGACCGTACTCGTTTTCGGGTATGTTCAAATAATCCATTATTCTCGTTTTAATATCGTGCTCTATAGTCCCGTTGTCAGTTCCACCGTATAAAGCATGGTTACTCAAATTGGCAGTGATTTCAGACAAACTAAAAGCCGAAGATTCCCAATCGTTAACAGATTGAAGCATCGAAAACAACCCGAAACCACAATAATCGAGGCATACCTTCGAAGAAGCACCGCACATGTGTGAGTACTCATCCGCCCTCAAATGATCGATTTTTTCCGACGATTGGTACTTAGGGTACATTACGAGGAATTTCGAGAAAGCTTCGTTGAGGTGCGGAATTGAGTCGCCTGGCTGGAAAGTTCGCTCGGCTGCTAGGGCGGTGGCTCGGAGAAAATCCTTTTGGGCGTTTAATCGAGCGAGCGAACGGGATCTGCCCAAGGCTTCGTCCTGATTGGTTAAAGCTTCCGAAATTTCGATGTCTTGAGATTTTACGAGAGACCCGTCTTCGGAGGCTTCTTCGAGAGCTTCTCTGAGCTTGTGTTCTTGAAGTTTTCGGAGGATTGATGGGTTGGTTTTGACTTCTTCGGTGGAATTGTGGGACCCGTCTCTTCTTCGGGTTTTTTTGTCCATGAAGATTAGTGCAGCACAGTGAGATATTGGTTTCCATAGTGACAGATGCATTTAAAGATTGGATTTTTTTTTTCTTTTTTGGGGTTCTTACAATCAAATTTGGTAATAGAGAGAGAATACAATCAAGAAAAGGAACAAATTCAAAAACCCAGAAAGAAAGGGGACTGGGTTCAAAGTTCACACCCTAAATTCAAAAGGGGGAAAAGGGAATCAAAGCTAGTAAAAAAAAAAGCTTCTTCTTCAAGAATGAACCTTTGCTTTTCAAAAATTCAAATCGAAATTAAAAAACAACAACAGCAGCTGAATGAAAAAGGGAGAAGATAATTTACTTTAGGAATAACATTCAAATATCAAGACCAGACCTTTGAGTTGAAAAATAACTTCAATTTAAAAAAATCAAAAATTAAATTAAAAAATTGGGGGAGATCAAGGAAACCCTAGAATCGACATTTTCTTGAAGATTCAGCTCAGAAAATGACAAACCCAACTGGAGAAATGTGAATACAGGATGATTGCTACCAGAGAAAATGGGTAAATCATAGGTGCAGCAAAAAACAAAAAAAAAAACAAGATCCAGAAGAAACAGCACAACGAAAAGCAGGCAAACTAACTGTAGAGAAGAGAAAAAAAACAAAGTGAAGAAATTTTCCCTCTTAGCTTTGTTGTAAATCAGAGCAAGAACACAGTCTTCTTCCTTTCTTGAATCACCTGAATTTGATTTTAAGCCAATTTAGAAGAAGACCCTATACAAGAAACTATTTTGCACATTTACTTCTGTTGTGTGAGTTGAAAAAAACATGCCCTCTCTCTCTCTATTCTGTATTCATTACCCATTAGCTTTCTCTCTCCTCCTTTGACATTGGCCTCCATTTGGTGGGGCCCACTTGTGAAATTCTTTATTGAATAGGGGGGCCGGGGCCCCCCCTTTTACTAAATCACAATTGACTTTCACTAACCACCCCCTTTGATTTTGATTCTTTCTTTTTTCTTCTATTTTAATTCAACTAACAACTATCTTAATTTAGTATAGACAAAATAAAAAATATTTTTTTTAAGGAAAATCACATATGCATGTATTTGGATGAAGTTACCTCTCATGGTATAGTATAGACCGGTTCTGATATTTTTCGGGGTCCTAATTGAACTTAAAAAAAAGTATAGGTTGATCATGATATTTTCGGGGTCCTAATTGAACTTAAAAATACGGGTTTTGATTTTTTTAATATTATTAAATTTTATTTATTGTGGATATATTAAAATTAAAGTGGGATCATAAGTGGTGGCATCTCTCGTTTCACCACAAGACCGATTTTGTGGTATATTAGTCAACGCCTTTACAATGATATTGGGTTAATATTTACTTTTTATAACGAAGGAATTCAAAATTAACTCATATGATTAGTGCATTCGATAAAATTGAACTCTCGTAAATAGCGTGGTGAAGAAAAAAAATCAAACTATAAAACGTTGACAAAAGAATTCGAATCGGAATTAGAATCGGTTGACTTTACGCTTATCTCATCAAGTGAGCCACCTTACGGAATCGATTAAACATAGCGGAAATATTATTCGCGGTCCAAATAAAATCAAAAAATGGTTCCTCCTAATTATAACTGTTTTAACTGTTGGCAATATTGGAATCCAGCTTTTACAAATTTATGATGTAGTGATTGTTAATTATTTGGTCAACCTTTTTTTTTGGTCAACGTGACTAATCAATTATTGTAGTTATTCATTAGTAGCATGTGACACTATATCATAGGTTTAGCATAAGTACATTATTTTGATAATACCCATATTACCTGTAATAATTCCCTTCATTGCTACTCAATTGGCTTATTTTCTAATTTTCTATGACAAGGATATGGCTTAATTTCACTTTGCACCCCTGAAATATGGTTTTTTCGGTATTTCGTACGCTCAAAAAAATTAATAGCACTTTGTACCCTTAAATACAATAAATCATGCATAATGCACCTCTACTAGTATTTAAAGCTAGCGAAGATAATTTCATATTTTTGGTGGCATTTTTTTAGAATGACAAATGTCAAATCATAAATTTTATATTTATCAATCCTTCCAAACTTACAAAGTGAAAAGATAAAATACATCTTTCATCAACATACTTAAAAATTATATGTTTTATCACAAATTACTAAACAAAAATAAAACTATTTTATTATCGAGTTATTTGAAAATTTTAATTTCTTTCAAAAATATTTGTACTAAATATTTTCATCAATTACAATAAAGATTCATCGAACTAATAATTTAGTGAGAATATTATCTTTTTTGTTTATAAGCAAATATAGTTTTTTCGTAGTTCAATGTGATTTTTGTTTTTTCGCATTTTATACGCTCGAAATTAGGTTGGATGTAGAAAAAAAATAACAATTTAATTAGTTATTTTACACCAGAGAAATAAAAAAAAAACCAACAAAATATGAAGTTGACTTCATTGAGTTTTAAATATTCAATTTATGGTGCATTGCGAGTGACTCATGTATTCCGAGACTGCAAAATAGTATTAATTTTTTTCAATGATGCAATGTGCCAAAATACGATATTTCAAGGGTGCAAAATGAGATTAAGCAGCAAGAAAATTAAATATTGACTTATTGAGCCTAGTTGAGTGCCGTGTATATTAATTGATTTATTAATTATAGCATTTGGTCAACCATCTAAGAATCAGCATGCTTCTATTTCCTTAATTAAGACAACATATTTAATAAAACATTTTTTTTTTAATTTCTTTTTTCCTAAATAAAGAAGTGTTAGACACCATTCACTAAAGGGGCAATTTGCTATAGGTCCTTCTATAAGAGATTATATGGGTTAAAATCCATCTAATAAACTCTAATTTCCAACAAATTTGTTTATTTATAATTTGTCAAAAGTACCCCTATCAATATCCCTATTAAAATACGGTAAAATAAATCTTCAAAATCAAATTCTCTATTTTTCTCCCTATTATACTGCAAATCCGAAAATTATAATTGCAAAAATCTGAAAATCTATTTCTTCCGTGTTTCTTCAAAGCGAAGATCTCTCCACAAATTTTGAATCATTCCATAGGTTTGGGTGTTCGATCGTTTGCAGTTTTACCAGGTCGTTTGCATTTTGTCTTCGTTCGATTTGCTGTTTCCCTATTAGCCTTCGTTTCGTTTCGTTTGCTGTTTACAAATTCCTGGTTGTTCGGAAACAACGGCTGGTATTTAGGGTCTGTTGTTTGAGCGTGTGGGTGTCTCAGCGTTTGCAGTTTTATCAGGTCTGAGCATTTTGCCTTTATTCCGTTTGCCTTCGTTCGATTTGCTGTTGCCCAATTTGCCTTAGTTTTGTTTGTTGTTCGGAATCAACGGTTGGTGTTTAGGTTTGTTGTTTGGAGTTCGTACGATGGCCAAAACACGATTAAGTCTTGGTAAGCAGTGATCCTTTGTGTAAAATTTTATTTGCATGTTGGGTTTTCGATTTTGATTTTTTTTCTTTCGTTATTAATTTTGTATTTTGTTCCTTTTTTGCTTTTGTATTTTGTTTGTTTGCTATTTATTTCAAATATTTCAATGATAATTTGAGAACCCCTTTTTTTTCCCCTTAACAGCAAAGGAGGATGATGATTTCCAATTCCCGAAATCAGGTAAAAAAATTGAGGGGTTTGTTTATGTTACAACTTTGATTATGTTTATTCTAAAACAAAACGTGAACTGTATTTTAAATTACATTTTTTGAGAGTTGTTTGGTGTTGGACCTCCTCTCTATGAACCTAATTATGTGTTATGACTTTGCTTTTTGTATTTCTCTGTTATGAGTTTGCAAGTTGAATTTCAATATTTTCGTTTTGGATTTCTACATCTTACCAGTTTTGTTCAAAGAATAAATTTTTTGTTTTTATATTTTTTGGTATTTTGAAGAACTCATTTATTCTGTTTTCATTTGCAAAAACTCATTTACTGAAAATTTTGATTTGCACTTAGTTGGGTTAAAATTGCATAAGGCAGCCTATTTTGAAGTTCATAAGGCAGGCTTTTGTTTGTATAAAATCAAAAAAAAAATGTAAATTGAAATTACAATAACCAAATATGGGCTGCATTTTAAAGTTGCACATAGCATATTTGAGGAGTTTCATTAGTGGTAGTTTCAGTCCACATTTGTTTATTATGAGTTTGCACTTAATAGTTTTCTGTTATGATTTTGTACTTAGTATCGTTGTTGTTTTTTGTTATGAGTTTGCATCTTGCAATCCAATTGTTTGTTGTTCGTAAAACGACGGCTGGTGTTTAGTGTTTGCTATTTGTGATTTATACGATAGTCAAAACACGATTAAGTTTTGGTAAGCAACGATCCTGTTAACTGTTAGTATAATTGGTGTGTGTGTTTTGAATTTTTCTGTTATGCCTTAGCACGGTGTTTTTTTTTTTTTTTTTTTTGCCTTTTGTTGTTTCTTTTGATTTTCCATTTTGTTGTTGTTGTTTTTTTTTTTTTTTTTTTTTTGTTTTTTTTTTTGCGTTTTGTGGTTTTTTTTTTTTTTTTGAATTTTGTGTTTGTTATTTATCTCGAATATTTCGATACTAATTCGATAACCTTTTTTTTTTCCTCTGACAACAAAAGAGGATGATGACTTCGAATCCCCAAAATAAGGTATAATTCGATAACCTTTGGTTATGTTCTTTCTTAAAATAAATGTAACTGCATTTTAAGTTCCAATTTTTAATTTCCTGCGAATAGAGGTTTGTTTGATGCTAGTCAGAATTTTTATGTGTTTTTTGAAACTAGGTTCGCATTATGCTCTTTAAAGTTTGTTACTCTGATTATGTATTTTGTTATTTTGTGGTTGATTTTTGGTATTTATGTAATCTGAATTATAAATTTTGTTGGTTAATTTTGAAAGAAAAAAAAATTGTTTCAATTAAGCCATCATGTTCTTGTTTGCACTTTGAAATTTATTGTTTGTCATTTTTTATTTGAAATTTATTATTTTCAATTTCTTGACTGAACTTTGAATTTTTTTTGAAATTGCAGTTATTATTTCGATAATTAATTATTATAATTATACAAACATGATTATGGTCCGGTAATTGCACTTTGAAAGTTTAAATCTTACAATCCTTGTTTGAATTTGCATATGACATTTGCTATTTTCAAGTACCGTTTTTGCTTGGCTAATTCTCGTGTTACTTACATTACATATGATGGTTTTTATTTGCAGTTTACAATTTGCAAGTCGTATATGGACTTGCATAAAATGTTGTTGTTCGATATTTGCAATAACATTCTTTAGATAATTCTATCGTTCTATTTTTTTTTTGTTGTTCAGACAATCAAGCCAAAAAAGCAGAAATCTCTAAATGGATGTTCAATACATCCAAAAGGAATAAAATAAAATCAACCCCGACTGCAGTCGAGACTCAAGAATCACTAACCGTTACACAAAGAAACACCACTTCACATTGTTGTTTGAACCTCGTTTTGTTGTCCATGTATTGCAGTTTGCAGTTTCGATTTAAGTTTGTTGATAAAATGATTTGATGTTTTACATTTACTTTGTAAATTCCAAGTGCAAATTGCAAATGAAAATGCTAGTTTTGCTATTGCATTATGCAATATTGTTTTTCTCAAACTGATGAAAATAAGAAATTTATGTTTGTTGTTTTAATGTCTGCATTATTTAACATTTCCTACCATCTAGTTATTTTTTTTTTAATAAAAAGTAATTTCCTCTATTTGGTGTCTATTGCCTTTGGATCCCTCGTGGATTAAATTGATGACAGTGCCCAGGAACCCAAAAAATCCCCATAAAAAGGTTTTAAAATACAATTATCAATATATATATATATATATATATATATATATATATATATATATATATATATATATATATATATATATATATATATATATATATATATATATATATATATATATATATATATAATTGACTACAATTTTAACCTTTTGGGAATGGGGTTTTGACTTCCAATTTTCAGATCATCCCATGTTATTGACTTTCATTTATTCAGCATAACAATGGACACATTCCTAGAAATTATGTGGTAATCGAGAGTAAATGTATAAATTAATAGGTATTAGATTAAGTATTTATTAATTTAGTGAAATATTAAATTATCAAATTAATACATTGTCAGTTGTCATTGAGTGGGGACCGGAAAAAATATTATTCAAAACGAGGTTATTACTTTTATCGAAGATGAGATAATGTAAAAATGTTGTTAAATACTTTTTTATTGTTCCAAATAATTGACTAAATACCAATTGGTTTCTCTTCACTTAATTAAATCGAAGACTGTGTGTATTACGTATATGAGTGATTTTCTCGACTATTGTATATTAATTACCAAACTTCACTTCAATCCAAATTCGAGCTTATCACACATGGTTAATCTATTATCGTTTACGTCTCTTGTATGACTTACAAATTATTATACGAGAGCGCAAATTTATTCAGTGCACTTATATAGTTGGCTGCGGATTCCTTCATTACTATAATAAAAAAAATAAAAAATGATTAGGTGGTCTCTTTTGTGTGGGTGGGGTGTCTTTTGCTTTGGGGTCTCTTTTAGTAACTTTACCTTTTCCATTGCATAAACATCACTAATTTTTACATCAAATTTCTTTATATTAATTTTATTGTGGTTAAAACTTTTGTTAATTTTGATTTTTAGTCTTGACATTTTTATCATTAATGCTATTCACGTTGAATTTGATGTAGCATTTTACGCTCAGTCAATCATTTTAATTTCTAAATCGTTCCGCGTAGAACTTATAAATTATTAAACAAAATATGTTTTAATTGATAATTAATTTCGAACCTTACTATGAACCTGTTATGGACCACGTCTATCATAAATCCGTTGAAAATCCACAAATTTAATTCTTTAAAATTAATAACCATTGTTTGACGAGATGAGGATAAATTATACTAGAAACCCGCAGCTTTATGACTCGTGGAGACCCCGTTAAATATTTTTGGTCCATCTTTTCCATTATTTATTAATAATAGTTAAAAGCTTCAATTTTTTACATCTTTATTTTCGTGATGAAAAGCAAGGAGTATAATGAGACAATGATAATTGGGCCAGACTTCATTGAAAAATAAAATCGAATAATAAACTTGAGAAAATAATGGGCTCAAAGTTTTGGCCCATCCGATTTTCAGAAAAAAAGTAATTGAAATATAATTACCGTTTTACCATCGAACAATACACGTGGTAAATAAATTATGGTGAACAAATTCTTCTTTTCCTATAGCCTAACAAAGGTTATTTTTTATTGGTTAAATAGTTAATGGCTTATTGCAAAATATATTGCCTTACTGATACACTTTTTAGTTTGATAAGCTGTTTTAAGAGTTGAAAAAGTTGTTGCGTCTTGTTTTTTAATTAATTTTTACAGTGTTTGGATACTGAATTTATAGTTCGTTTTTACTCATTATAAAATCTTAAATAAAAATGTGGGTCAGAGGTAATTTAAAAAGAAACAAACTTATCTGCTCTCCAACGGCTTATTTTTTGATTTTTTAAGATTTTTAAAAAAATTACCAAATACTTTGAAATAACTTATAAGGTTTTAAACATCTTATAAGCTTAGTCAAACACCCTCTTAATTTGACATATTTATCGAAATTGTAATTGTATACCTATTTTACCCAATAAGTAAAATTAAAACTGAAATTAAAATTATCATTTTATTTCCTTCCTAAATGTTATATACCCTCTACCTCCATGCATAACATGGCAACATCTGTCATAATTTTTAGTTCACCTTCCCAATCAATTTAATTTCTTTGTCCACACAAAAAAAATCCTTCCTAATTTTCAAAACCGTCAACCAAACACCACCTAAGTTTTTTTTTTTCACTACTACATTTTCAATTTTGCCTTAACTTCCATACCACTCATATATATTATTTAAATAATATCTTTTTGTTCTAAGAATAAAATTATTTAAATAATATATATTTGACTTAAATTTCCTGCTTAAACACAAGTAACTGGTTTTGGTCCATGCACGTTTAGACTTAACATTCTAAATATACACATTTGGTTGACCTAACCAAAATTATGCCCAAAAGAAAAAAAGACACAAAAAAACACACAAAACACCAAAATTAAATGCAACTCTTATATATATGTTGCAATTAGTAGAGTTGTTTTTTTTATATGAAATATGACAATGGCTTTGATCAGCTTTCATAATTACATTAATATTATTGAAGTTTTGGTGCTGTTTATTATCCTAAATTGTACAACTTTTGCAATATCTCAAGATTTGAAAAATGGAGCATCTTTTATTTTTGGAGATTCTTTGGTAGATGCTGGCAACAATAATTACTTACAAACACTGTCTAAGGCTGATTCTCCCCCCAACGGCATCGATTTTGAGGCCTCCGGTGGAAATCCGACCGGTCGCTTCACAAACGGAAGAACCATCGGAGATATTGTTGGTAAGATATATATATTGTTGTATCTGATTGTGTTTTTATTTACATTTTCTTTAGTTAACGAATCGATGTGACAAAGAACTGAATATACGTCAAGTTAATTAATTATGGAAAATTAATAAGAATTTTTCATCTTCAATATGATTAGGGTTTTTTTTTTAAAGTTTAATATGTAATTATCAATTTATTTTTCTTGATATATTTGATATTTGTGATTAGGGGAGGAATTGGGGCAGACACGTTACGCCATGCCGTTTCTTTCCCCGAACACCACCGGAAAAGACATATTATACGGTGTCAATTATGCGTCGGGAGCTGGAGGAATTATGAATGCTACCGGGAAATTATTTGTAAGTTAATTTCTTATGTTTCAAATTAACTATTGATTTTGAGATTTGTTAATCCGCACATTAGGATTCCAATGTTGCATTTTTCTCAATTTAGCACTTAATAAGTTCAACCAAACCCTAATTATCGCCCGTGGAGAGATTAATTACGAGAATTAGTTGAACGGGTAGTTTATCTTATTATATAATATCTTTACAGTTATTTCAAATCCGAAGACATATTTCATTCAATCTGTTTATAAGCTGTTAAAAAGAGCTTATAAGTTGTTCTAAAGTGTTTATAAAAAACTAGCAAATAAGCTGGTGGCCGGAGAGCATTCAACATCTTTTTCATTAAGTATACTTCTACTCCACATTTTCTTTAAAATTTTATAATGGGTAAAAATAACTTATAACGTTCATTATCCATATGCTTTAAAAAAACTAATAAAATCGATATAACGAGTTATAAGCTCTTAAAACAGCTTAATCAAACGTAAGAACTTATCAGCTGTTCAATTTTTACAGGTAAACAGGCTATCGATGGATGTTCAAGTTGACTACTTCAACATAACGAGGAAAGAAATTGATAATTTGTTGGGTTCATCAAATGCAAGAGAATATCTCCAGAAAAAGTCAATCTTCTCAATCACAATTGGGTCAAATGATTTTCTAAATAATTACTTATTACCTGTTGTCTCAATGGGTGAAAGAATTTCACAAACCCCTGATGCATTTGTTGATGATTTAATTAATCATCTCAGACTACAGCTTACGGTATCAATTAATTAATTAATTAACACAAATTATTATTAATTTATTTTATTTTATTATTTATTATTATTTGAAATATTATGCAGAGAATTTATCAATTGGATGGAAGGAAGTTTATAGTGGGAAACGTTGGACCAATAGGGTGCATTCCGTATCAGAAAACGATAAACCAGTTGGGCGAAAACGACTGCGTTTCGTTGCCAAATAAGCTGGCGATTCAGTACAATAGGAGGCTGAAGGATCTTTTGCACGAGCTAAACGAGAATCTAGAAGGTTCCACTTTTGTTCTTGCCAATGTTTATGATCTTGTCATGGAACTCATCACTAATTACGCTAATTATGGTAAGAATTTTACTTTTTTAATTTTTTTTCGAATTTTCAATTCGATAATAGTGGATGAGGTATATGCTCCGAATTTGAATTTTAACATTTGTTTTCGAATAATTCAGTTTTTGTTTAGATGATTTTTAGAATTCTAAAATCACGATAGATTTGAAAATTCGATTATAATACTCCATATGTTTCATAATAATTTTTTTTTTTTGTTAATTGTTCCAACTTCCGTAGTATCTATCATTTTATATTTCCAATACCGCATTAATTTTTTTTTTCCTGTTTTAACCTTAATAATTAAACTCTAAGTATTGCTCTCTCTTATCATTAAATGATCAAGGTTATTTTAGTTAAATTTAAGTGAGGTTTAATTTTATTAGTTAGATATGAACATGTTTATTGGATGGGTATTTGCAGGATTTGTAAGTGCAAGCAAAGCTTGTTGTGGGAATAGTGGTGGGCAATATGCAGCAATACTACCGTGCGGACCAACTTCGAGTCTTTGTTCGGATCGAGATAAACACGTTTTTTGGGATGCTTATCACCCGAGCCAAGCTGCTAACCTTATAATCGCTAAACAACTTTTGGATGGCGACACTAGATACGTTTCTCCCGTCAATCTGCGACAGCTTCGTGATCTCTGATTTTTGCTTTTTTTTTTCCTAAATTACAAATATATTGTTGTATTATTGTTGTTTCTTGATCTTGTTTCGGATTTGTTTCGTTAAAAGGGAAAAATATATATATCTAATTGCTTATGGTTTCACAAGTTGTTTATGTTGGAATAATTTACTCGTTAAGACAACATTATATAGCAACTACAATGTTTGTGTAGACTCAAATTATAACTTCAATCAGAATAAATAACACAAGAAACTAGTGTGCTTTGGACATATAAATGACCTACATCAACGAGGATCTGCAAACAAGATTTCACTAGTTTAGATTTACGTTGTACATTAATATGACTTATTTAAATATTAAAGACTTCCTCTTTAAATCATATATCAATCTTATACACAACTCAAACGTCTTGTTTCTTCACACAACTCCTCTATCTGCACTTTCTTGAACGTTCTCCAAGTCTGAAATCCCTTCAGATGGCGGATGACCTATCTCGAGATCTGTACAACAAATATGTATGTCTCTCGAGATCTGTACAACAAATATGTATGTGTTGCCAAAACAATAACGAGGCCATAATACTGCTCCACATAATGGCCAAACAAAGTTTCAATACTTTAATATATTTCTCTATAATAAAAGCGCTAAGGTTCTTCACTAGTTTGTTTGATTTACACAGGCATGAGATGAGCTCCACCCGGTTTCCTTCTCGGAGTGTATGTTGGACCTTTAAATTCTTCAAAAACATAGCCAATACGTCTAATATCCATTATGCTAATGTAAAATACATTTAATAATCGTGATATTTTTAAGTGTAATTTTCTGGAGAAAAAATCATAAAATTTGGAATTATTTTCGGATATTAAAATCGGAATGAAAATGAGAACATACATACAAACTCCAATTATAATCCCAAAAAAATCGAAAAAAAAGTTGGAAACTGAAATTTCGGAACGGGGTGAAGAATATTTCCAAAATCGAAAAAAATTGGAAAAAAAATTGAAAAAATTCCATTCCACTTTTGTTAGTACATTTAATATGGTTTCCAAAAATTCATTTTTTTCGCCGCCCAAGTCAAAACTTGATAATATGGTTTGCTGCCCATGAATTTGGGCCGGGCTTTTGGGTTTAATTTAATAGCTGAATATCTGCATTATTAAATTAATTAAATATTAAATTAAAAAAATATTAAAAAAATAATGTACTGAGATACGGAAAATACTGATACTGTGAGATTGGATTCTGGATTATATTCTTCCTCGGACAAGAAGACAAACAGAAAAAAGGCAATTTTCTCGAAGCACACGCTGGCCTTATCAATTAATTAATCCCGAACAACTCTGCCAATTTTGTTTGCCAAACAAAGGATAGACTAGACATAAGACAAATACATTTACACACAGTAACAGGTGTAGATGTGTGAATTAGTACTGTAGAGAATTACGGGCATGCAAAAAGTGTGGTATTATTGAAAGTGACTTGATACAATTTGGGGGCGTGGTCTCTGCTCTTATTCAACCTCCTCACCAGGTTTTTGTCTTCCCTCTTTTCACTAATTATTTAAATTATTATTAATTTATATATATATATATATAATTGAAAATTGTTTGTGGTGTTTTAATTTTATTAAGAAAAAAGAAACTTTGGAATAGTCTTACATTGATCATTGCATTATAAAATTGGTTATGTTTATTAAATATTTTTTTTTATCAAATAATTTAAGATGAGTTTATATTGATTATTTTTTTATTGGTAAAAAGAATATCAAATCGTGTTACAAATTGGGGCAGCATTCGAACCCTAAATATCTACTATAACAGTAAACGCTAAGTATCAACTGTCCTAAGAATTATAAATAAATACGTAATAATTATACCCATCCTACTTAAAAAATATACACAATACCTTTTTTTTATAAATATAATCTAAATAAAAAAAAAATCGTTAGACATTAAAGTCACACACACAAACATTTTGAAACAATCATACTACAATTTAAATATATATGTGTATATATATATATATATATTTCTTAATGAAATGATTTATTATTGAATTACTATCATTTTTATGAAAAAAATATTAATTAATTTATTAAATAAGTTTGAAGGGAGAAATATGGAATTTTGAATGGGGAGGGAGAAAAATGTAAATAGAGGAGGGGACAAGGGGGCGAGAAATCCGGGAAAGGGAATTAAAAAAGGTACGCAGAATCTCGAAAACGACGGGTCCCGCTTGGGAAGCAATCCAATAATTGCACCCCCACGCTATCCCGACATTCATCATTTTTATTGTCTCTCCTAATTCATTCAATCATCTCTTCTTTCTTTTTTTACCCTTCTTCCCACTCATATCTTTTTCCCCTTCTTACACGTTCTCTCTCTCTCTCTCTCTCTCTCTCTCTCTCTCTCTCTCCTGTTTCTCTCTCTTATTTCTTCTTTCCCGCCTCTGCTGTTTTAATTTTCATATTTCCCTTTTTGTCCCCATTGGGCTACATTTTTAGCTTTACTTGCCCCTGTTAAATTCTTGGATTACCTAAGCTGTTTTTATCCCCGGACAAGTAAAATTTTATCCCCTCTTAAAAAAAAACTATTATTTTATTCAAATCTATTTCGTGATTATTAAAAAAGTTAATTAATTCATTATTGTTTATTTCTATTTACCATATTGCAGATAATTTGTAATATATATTGCAGAAAAAAAAAAAATGCAATCGATAAACTACAAATAGCTTAATCCCATTTTGTATCCTAAATACAACTAAAATAGGGGCGATGCGAGAAAATGATCTGATAAATGTCGTTTTAGTTTTAGTAATACCGTGTCGATTTGAAATATGATTTTTATTTTTGACATTTTTCAAGTTTAAATTTGGCAAAACTCTTAACACGAGATGTGTAAATCGTTGAGTTAGCTTTGCTAATATAACTTGAATCACTAAATTGAATGTCGGGTGAGAGATATGCATGAATCAATGAATATTGTGTACAACTTTAATGTTTTGAGTTATGTAAAACTCAAAATGGAACTGATTCATGCGTGACTTTGTCACCCAATATACAATCTTGCTGATTCAAATTGGATTAGAAAGCTAACTCGTCAGACGCACATTTGCGTGCCCTTGATTTTGCCAAAAATAGACTAGAAAATAATCAAAATTACATTTAAAGTCAAAACAATATTAGTAAACTTGAAACGATATTTAACATTTCAATTCAATAAAAGTATATATTATTACTTGAGATACATACAAAATATATTTTTGATTTTCAAAGGAAATCTAAACATTGAAATTTTAATAGACCCAAATCAATGTAGTGCTAATTATGCAACTTTTTATCTAATTTGTCTTCAAACATAATCATTAGAAGTTAACCAATACGACAAGAAAATTTATAATAAACATTTAAATGTTGACTTATGAGACTATATATTATATTTTTTAAATCATAATAATCCCAATGAAAATTGTGTAATGTTTTTTTTATTGTTCAACTAATAATTAACATGACATTTATCTCTACATTCTCTTAGTAATTATTACATTTGGAATTTATAATAATCATATATATATTTTATATATTACCCCCCCCCCCCACCCCCTCATCCCCCACCCCGCCCCCAGCCAAAAGGGGCCAATTTCGAGCCGACTGAAAATATGCATTTCTCTTAACAAAAACGTCTGAAAAAGCTGCTCAGCCAGTCACACAACTCCGACACAGCGGTTTCCTGTTTAATCGGCCTGCCTGCACAGAATCTCTCTCTCTCTCTCTCTCTCTCTCTCTCTCTCTCTCCTCTCACTTTCTCTCTCTCTATAATAAAAACCCCATTATTCGGACCACATTTTCACTTGCGCATTTACACAAACACATAGTTAGCAAGAGAAGTGACAACAACAAGAAGAAAAAATGGCGACGGACACAAGTGAGAGAAAGCTAGCTAAGGCGGGCCACGTCGGCGCTCCGGCGCCGGAGCCGGAGCACCTCCCCTGCCCCCGGTGCGACTCCACCCACACCAAGTTCTGCTACTACAACAACTACAACTTCTCCCAGCCCCGCCACTTCTGCAAGTCCTGCCGCCGCTACTGGACCCACGGCGGCACCCTCCGCGACATCCCCATCGGCGGCGGCACCCGCAAGAGCGCCAAACGCTCCCGCACAACCATCGTCTCCTCCGCCACTTCCGGCTCCTCCGCCGCCACCTCCTTCTCGTCGGCGGCTGCTCATCAGTATCGCGACTTCGGCCACTTCCCCGCCGCTGCCTCCCAGCTTCTGGTCCCGTTCGCCGCCGCCGCCGATCACGGCGGCTACATGCCGTTCAGCAGCGACGTCGCTAAGATGGGCGGGAGTTTTACTTCCTTGCTGAACAGCAATCATGGTGGTGGTGGTGGGATTCTGGCCTTGGGTGGGTTCGGGCTCGGGCTTGATGACGTAGGGTTTGGGCTGGGACGGGCCGCGGCGGCGTGGCCGTTTCCCGGGGTGGTGGAAGGTCGTCCGGGCGGTGGAAATGGTGGCGGGTCGAGCGGCGGAGGGCACACGTGGCAGATGGAGAATGGGCAGGGTGGGTTTATGGGAGGTGGTGATTGTTTTGCTTTTCCAGATCTTGCTATTTCCACACCCGGGAGGGTCCTGAAATGATAAATTGTTTTTTATTTTATTTTATTTTTTCTTTTTTTTTGAAAAAAAAAATAGTTTCTGCATAATCTAGTTGACAATATAATCTAGTGTTTCTATTGGTCGAAAATTATTAGTTTCACAAGTTTTTAATGTCCAAATTTAGATTTCCATTTTAATTTAGTGAATTGTTTCTTTCCAATCACATAAAGTTAATATTATAAAACAAAACTCTAATTATTTTGATTTTTATTTAATATATACACAAGTGGAAATTATAATTGGATCATAATTAATAGGGCAAATTACGGTCATTCCCATGAGTTATGGTCAAACTACGAAAACTTCATTTCTATTTAAATAATTATAGTCACCCCCTCAATTATATATTATCTTACGAAAATCTCATACAGAGGTAAATTTCGGGATGTTAAATCGAACCGAAATTTCGCTACGCAAACATTATATACTGTTTACCGAACTGAATTTACAAATAACCGAATTATATAAATTTTACGTAAAAATATTTAAATGGAAGGGTGACTGCAATTATCCAAACAAGAGGGTTTTTTCGTAATTTAGCGGCCGTAATTTGGGCTAATTAATAATGAGCTGCTACAATATGAACGCTTTTAAGTTAGGGGACTGCGATTCTGCCGATAATTATAAGCCGCTTTCTGCAATTCTGACTCTAACGACTTTAATATTGATCCGGTAGGCCGTTACTCAATTCTACCGACAACAACAATGCAATAAATTAAATTTTTTTTTTTGATTTTATTTGTAGTAGTATACATAATTAGTTAGGATGCTTCGAAGCACGTGAGCTCGATCTAGGGGCGGATATCTGAACGGAATTTTCGAATTTTGATCATGGTGTTTCTGATCTGGGAACGGCATTTTCCATTCCAAATTATCAAAGTTCCGATTTCCATTTTTTTTTTTTAATAAATATCCATGAAATGGAATTGTAATGCATATGAGAATTTGATTTCAGTTTTCGAAAATAGTTATGAAAAAAAAATCATACTTTTTTTTGAAAATTATACGCGCAATATCAAAATTATTATTTATTTTATGTTATAAATGACTAAAAACTGGGAAATTCTAATTCGGCGGACTCCTATTCGAAAATTTTAGATTTTGGAACAATTTCAATTTCCCATTTTTTTCAAGTTGTCGGAATGAAAATGTAACTAATTTTTCACTTCCAAAAAAAATTAAGAATTTTCTGAAAGTGTAAATTAGTCCATCCGATTTTCACCTTAATTCAACCAGTTTCATTTGAGTAGGTCTAGTTAACGCCAAGCATGACCAAGTTTGTGTCATTCTACGGTCTCAAGAAATTTATAAGTCGAGTTTGAGCTTATTATCCTTCGAATAAAGTTCAATTTAATAAATAAGTAAAATATTCATCTGAGTTTATTATTTTGACATTTTCATTAAAATTTATAAAAACAAATAAACTAATTAACAAAAGCACTCTTATAATAAAATAAAGTTGAACTTCGACCATTGCCTCATCCATTAAAGTTAATTCTCAAAATTATATGTGGAAAAAGTTGAACCTAAACGACGTCCTTTTATTATCTCTTCGAACTTCCATTTTTCACTCTGAAGAAATTTCAGCATTTTGTTGTACTACTGAATTCTGATCCTAACAAATTTCAATTGCCTGAGGTTCGTCGTCTCTTACATTTTCCGATAACTCCTCTGTCTGTGTGTTCGCTTGTCGGAAAAAAATAAAAATAAAAATTGTATCTTTCGTCAGTAAATAAGCCCTAATTGCACTAATATTTTGTGTAATTTCGTTATGCATTTCTTTTAAATCCCGAACAGTTTGATTAATCCGATATTAGTTAATCCACACATTCTAATTACGTTGTAGGTTAAGAAGCACTGCATATTGTGAGAAACTGTAATATTCTGATATATTATATATATATATTTAAGTATTTTATATATGTTATATTAATGTAACAGTAGAATTGGGATTGATTGGGGAAGAAGAAATAGACTTGATAGAGTAAAGAAGAAGAAAGAGATAAGAAAATTGATATAAAAGTGGCTAGCTGCCTTCATTAATGATATTCCATCTATTTATAGAAACCTGCCAAATCTGACCTAAAAGGATATTCCCCTTTTACAAATGAAAAGCTAACATCTGTCCTTATTCTATTTGCAGGTATTAAATTCCAATTTGTCTTCATTAGCCCGCCCCATGTTGGGCCTGGGATTCGAGCCCATTACTGCAGCTGAGGTGGAATTGGGCTTAACTTGACACGGCCCGTCTGAAATTCCCTGATTCTCCAAAACGCCGTCGTTTGCTATCATCCGTTTGAAAGCCCTAATTCTGCGATTGCCCCTCTTCTTCTTCGATCCCCAATTCATCTTGTCCGGGTACATGACATTACCCCCCGGATAACCAAATCCTTGTCCCCAAGGATCAAAAGATGGAAACTTTGCCATCAATTCCTCAAAATCTTCCCAGGTAGCGTGCGTAGGATCAGAGCCAGTCCATTGGACGAGAACTTGGGTGCGCGGCTGCTGATTGACCGTTTCAGTACGGTGGTCCAACAGTTTGGCCGGAAAAACCACGAAAAGTCCGGTGTCAGTGGAAAAAGGAAGGTGTGGGCTGGGAATATGTTTAGAGCTGAGCTTCTTCTTCAGCAAGGATACATGGAATACATCGTGGACTTTGGAGTCTGGAGGGAGGAGTAAGCGGTAGGCGACTGGTCCCACGCGTTCCACAATGGTGTAAGGTCCAAAATAGCGGTTCGAAAGCTTCAGATTCCGGCGAAGGGCGACCGAATTCTGTCGGAACGACTGTAATTTAAGGTAAACTTCATCCCCCTCCTCAAATTGCCTTTCAATTCTGCGTGTGTCTGCATAATGTTTCATACGTGTCTGTGCTAAAAGCAAATTGGCACGGATGAGGTCTAAAGCATGAGCCCTATCACGAATAAGATCACCCACAGTAGTGTTGGTAGTATCTAAATACGAACCCATAGAGAAATAGGGTGGTTTGTAACCATACAATGCTTGAAATGGGGACATTTTCAAGCTAGTATGATGGTTGGTATTATACCAGAATTCAGCAAGGGTGAGCCATTTCATCCATTGGTGAGGGTGCTGGCTGATAAAGCACCTTAAATATCCCTCCAAACACTGGTTAACACGCTCAGTCTGGCCATCACTCTGAGGGTGGTAAGCCGTAGACATAGAGAGTTTAGTACCCAGTAGTTTAAATAATTCAGTCCAAAACTGACTGGTGAAAACTCTATCTCTATCTGTAACAATGTTGACTGGCTGACCATGTAATTTGACAATGTGGTCTAGGAATAGCTTAGCAACACTGGGGGCAGAATAGGGATGAGATAGTGGTAAGAAATGGGCATACTTGGTAAGTCTATCTACTACCACTAGTATGACATTCTTCCCTTCAGATTTAGGTAATCCCTCAATAAAGTCCATAGAGATATGGGACCAAGCCTCTGTAGGAATTTCCAATGGTTCCAACAAACCTGGGTAAGGGTTGGTCTCATGTTTGGCTCTTTTACACACATCACAACCTTGAACAAAAGTCAAAACATCTGTTTTCAGCTTAGGCCAGTAGAATAGTGATTTGGCTCTGTGGTAAGTACCATGGATGCCTGAATGACCACCAATAGCTGTGTCATGAAGGCTCTGCAGTAATTTTTCTCTCAATAACTGATCTGAACCAATACAAATCCTACCCTTGTACCTCAAAATGCCCTGCATCACTGAGTAATCAGGAAAAACAGAGGGGTCTAGGACCTTGGCAGCCAATATCTTCTTGCAAGCCTGGTCTTGCTCATAACTGGCAAGAACCTCTAACATCCACTTAGGTTGTGCTGTAGTCATAGCATAACACTCCCCATCTGAACATCCTTTTCTTGATAGAGCATCAGCCACTCTATTTTCTGTCCCCTTTTTATACTCAATTGTGTAATCCAACCCAATCAGTTTAGAGATCCATCTCTGTTGAAGGGCAGAAGTGAATTTTTGATCCATAATATATTTGATGCTTTGTTGATCAGTTCTAATAGTGAAATGATGGCCCTGTAGATAGTGTTTCCATTTCTGAATAGCCAATAGAACTGCCATGAACTCCCTCTCATAAATAGATAAGGCCTGATTCTTCAAGCTAAGTGCTTTACTGATGAAAGCTATAGGTCTGGAGCCTTGCATGAGTACTGCTCCTAGACCTGTAGAACTAACATCTGTTTCCACCAAAAAGGGCTTAGAAAAATCAGGTAGGGCTAGTACTGGTGAGGTAACCATGGCTTCCTTGAGTTGTATAAAAGCACTCTCTGCATCCTTGGTCCAATGAAAACCTCCTTTCTTTAACATTTCTGTTAAAGGTTTGCTGATGGCTCCATAACCTTGAACAAACTTCCTGTAGTAACCAGTAAGCCCTAGAAACCCCCTGAGTCCTTTAACTGTGGTAGGTTTTGGCCAGTCCAGCATACCTTTGATCTTCTCAGGATCAGTTGCTACCCCTTGCTCACTAATAATGTGACCCAAATACTCAATGGAGGATTGAGCAAAACAACACTTGGATTGCTTAGCATATAAGGTATGCTGCCTCATGATTGCTAAAGTAATTTCCAAATGATGTAGGTGATCTTCCAAACTCTTGCTATAAATCAGAATGTCATCAAAAAACACCAATATAAACTTCCTCAGATAGGAGGAAAATACCTGATTCATGAGAGATTGGAAGGTTGCTGGTGCATTACAAAGCCCAAAAGGCATAACCATAAACTCAAAATGGCCATGATGTGTCTTAAAAGCTGTTTTATACACATCTGCATCTCTCATTCTGATCTGGAAGTACCCTGACCTCAGATCCATCTTTGTAAACCATCTAGCACCATGCAACTCATCTAATAACTCATCTATGACTGGAATGGGGTAGTCATGTTTCACAGTCATGGTGTTGAGGTATCTGTAATCCACACACATTCTCCAACTAGAGTCCTTCTTCCTGACCAATAACACAGGTGAGGCAAAGGGACTTTGGCTATGTCTAATAACCCCAGTCTCCAAGAGTTCTTTCACAATTTGCTCAATCTCATTCTTGTAGGCATGTGAATACCTATAAGGGTAGAGTTGTTTAGGGATAGCATCTTTCTTGAGAATAATGTGGTGTTCCACCCCTCTGATTGGTGGTAAACCCTTTGGTTCTTCAAATATGTCTTGATACTCTACTAACATCTGTGTGACTGCAGCTGGTACCACTCTATGTGGTCTACTGTCTTCAATAGAGTATATTTGACCCTCAGCACTGCCCTTTGTGTGTTGCATCATTTTATAAAATGATTCACTAGAAATCAACTTCCAGTCCACTTCTTCCTTGATATCAGTGATCATCACCCTTTGAGCTCCACACTTCACTTCAATGCATCTTTTCTCATAATCAAATACCAGAGGACTACTCTTCAGTAGCCAGTCACACCCCAGAATAATATGATAACCCTCCATATCTATTATTCTCAGTGGAAATTTGAAAGTATGGCCCTGCATCTGCCAAGTAAACTCCCTCACCACTCTGGTGCTGAGAAGTTTAGTCCCATTTGCCACTGTGATGGTCATATTTGAGGCTCTCTCCACTCTGCAGTTGAGCTCTGCAGCTAATCCCCCAGAAATGAAACTGTTGGTACTACTTGTGTCTATCAATATGTTGAGCTGAACATCCCCCAAATTACCATAAACTTTTATGGTGTTCACTCCAGTATTGCCTAGTAGGGCATTAAGGGAGACTTGTACCTCCCCCACTGGTACATCCCCTTCAGTTTGTTCCCCTTCCACCATAGCTTGGTAGTATTCATTCTCTTCCTCCTCTGTCATCAGCATATAGATATGGCTATGTTTGCATTTATGGTTAGGTGTATAGGTTTCATCACAGTTGTAACAGAGCCCTTTTTCCCTTCTGGCTCTCATTTCAGCTATGGTAAGGTTTTTTCTCTGTGGAAGCAGAGCAGGTGGTGTATATGTTGGTGGTTTATTGGGTTGGCTGGGTGGTGTATATGTTGGTGGTGGATTTGGGTTGTTCCATATTCTTTTTTGGTGTGGGAATGGGGTAGGTGTTGGTTTATAGGGTGGTTTACTTTTCTTGGTGATTGATTCAATGGTGTGTGCCTGTTTTCTGGTCATTTCTATGACATGATGCAGTCCCTTGATGTCAAAAAGGGAAAAGAAACTTTTAACCTCCTCAGGCAGCCCTTTCATAAAGCAGTGCACAAAGTACTTTTCATCATAGGTTCTAGTGTTAAATAACAGTAGATAACACCTCATCTCCTCAAATTTTTCAATATATTCCTCAACAGTATCTGTTACCTTTAGGGAATGTATATCATCCAGTACATTACCCTCCTGCAACTCTTCAAATCTGTTGGTCACCAATCCTACAAAATCCTCCCAACTCACATCCCTCTGGTTCAGATGGCTAAACCATGATGCAGCCTTGCCTTCAAGGTGAATGGAAGCTATAGCAACCCTTTGTTTGTTAGGTATATTTGGAATAAGTTGAAAATAGCTATCACATCTCAACAACCATGACCTAGGGTTAGATCCATCAAACCTTGGGAATTCAACTCTAGGGCTGGGATTGAATCCCACAGCAAATTGTTCATCCCTATCATGTTGCTGCCTGAATCCCCTTAACTCAGTAACTGGTCTAGTGTAATGTTCAGGGGTTGCCATAGGGGTTGCAGAATTACCAGAGGTTGATGATGAAGGTCCTCCTCCCATAAGTGGCTTATCTCTGTGATAAAACTCCATCCTCTCAGCAATTTTGGTCATCTGTAGCTGCAGCAGCTCCACTGCCTTCTGCATTTGTGTCTGACCCTCAGCTACAGATTGTGAAACCATGTTGAGCTGGTCTTGGAGCAAAACCTCCACTGCCTGTCTTCTATCCACCTCCTCTTGGATCTTCTGATCTACCAATTTTTTGTGTGTTTCCAGCATTTCTTTAGATCTAGTAGCCTCAGCCATGTTGTAATTAATTTTCCAGGAAAAAGAGCCTTGCTTTGGATACCAAGTGTAATATTCTGATATATTATATATATATATTTAAGTATTTTATATATGTTATATTAATGTAACAGTAGAATTGGGATTGATTGGGGAAGAAGAAATAGACTTGATAGAGTAAAGAAGAAGAAAGAGATAAGAAAATTGATATAAAAGTGGGGGATTATTTGCCAAAACTCCCTAGTTACACATGTGTAGTTACAATGAGTCCAATTTTTTTTTATTATTTTAAGATAAATCCAAAACATTTTTAACTAATAAAAATTAATTATTTGTCACTATTATACCCTTGTGTTTAACCCTAAACTGACTTCTAACAATTATTTATTTATTTATCACATTATCTCTCTTCAACACCCACTCTCCGTCCCCCCACCCAATCCAACCACCAGTACGCCCCTGCTACTTTATTTTGCCATCATCTTCTCTAGCAAATCCATCCCCCCACACCACGAATCCAACAACCACCAACACCACACTCCTGCCACTTTATTTTGCTATCACTGTAGCCCCCCACCACCCGCCGCATCCTTCGATCTATAATCATAAGATGAAGAGTCTGATAAATTTGTTTGAGAGAGAGAGAGAGAGAGAGAGAGAGAGAGAGAGAGAGAGAGAGAGAGAGAGAGAGAGAGAGAGAGAGAGAGAGAGACTTGATAAGCAGAAGTGGAAGCTCCAAAGAGAAACCCATTTGGAAAATTGGATGCTTTGATGTGAACTTGTTGTTCTTTAATGGTGGATTCATCTGTAGAAATTGGTGATCGAAGAAGAAGAAGTAAGCAATTGGATATGAAAATGGGTTTGAATTTGATTTTCTTCATATTCTTCTTCTCTGTGTTTCTTCACAGCAGCAAGCAGAAGATATTCTCTTTGATCATTAGCTATAAGAAAATGAGTTATTAGCACAAAACACCCTGTATAATCTCTAATTTCTATTTTCATTTTTTCCTTTTTTTGTGGGTTTGTTTTTTAGGCAAGTTCAAATCGTATTCTTACTGGAGTAGTGGTTTTCGATATTTATTTATTTAGTTGTGTATAGAGAGTGGTTTTCATGTTTATATAGTTGTTTATACATAGTGGTTTTCATGTTTATATAGTTGTTTATATAGAGTGGTTTTTATATTTATGTAATTGTGTATACATAGTGGTTTTCATGTTTATATAATTGTTTATACATAGTGATTTCATGTTTATATAGTTGTGTATACATAGTGGTTTTCATATTTTATATAGAGTGGTTTTTATTTAAAAAAACTGGAAAGAAAATAAAAAAAAATTATTTTTAAAAAAATTCGAAATTAAGAAAAAAGAAAAACCATGAAAAAACGAAAATAAAAGTAAAACCATTTTTTTAAATTAAAATAAAAAAACATGAAAATATATAAATAAGAAAAAAATAATTTAAAATAAAAAATCGAAAATAAAAAATAAATAAATAATTACAAAATTTTCTTTCAAGTCAAATAAAGAAAATCATTAAACAAAATAAAAAAGAAAAGGAAAAAAAAAAACTGAATTGGCGTGATGAGGGGAATAATTTTTGGAGAAGATTTGGGTGTAGATTATGGGTATAATGTTTTTAAATTAAATAATTATACTAATTAATAATTAGTGGGGGCAAAATTGGTTTTTCAGGCCCATTGGATTTATCTCAAATATCATTTATAAAGAAAGGATTTATCAAGAATTAAAATCCCAATGAAGGGTGTTTGGCATATAGCCCCATAAAAGTGGCTAGCTGCCTTCATTAATGATATTCCATCTATTTATAGAAACCTGCCAAATCTGACCTAAAAGGATATTCCCCTTTTACAAATGAAAAGCTAACATCTGTCCTTATTCTATTTGCAGGTATTAAATTCCAATTTGTCTTCATTAGCCCGCCCCATGTTGGGCCTGGGATTCGAGCCCATTACTGCAGCTGAGGTGGAATTGGGCTTAACTTGACACGGCCCGTCTGAAATTCCCTGATTCTCCAAAACGCCGTCGTTTGCTATCATCCGTTTGAAAGCCCTAATTCTGCGATTGCCCCTCTTCTTCTTCGATCCCCAATTCATCTTGTCCGGGTACATGACAGAAACCCTAATTTTTTCCCCCAATTTTCATTTCTTACACGGTATTTGAAGGAAATGAAAGAACACCATTTTGTTCTAATTCACGGAGATTGCCACGGGGCGTGGTGTTGGTATAAAGTGGCAACTATATTACGATCTTCGTTTCGAAAGGTGACTGCACTCGATATGGCTGCCTGTGGAATAAACCCCGATCAAATCGATGAAATCGGATCGATTACGGATTATTTAAAGCCTTTGTTGGTTTTCATGGAGGGATTGTCGGAGGAGGAGAGAGTGATACTTGTGGGCCATAGTCGAGGCGGCATTGATATTTCGATTGCTATGGAGAAATTCCCGGGAAGAATTGCTGCCGCGGTTTTTGTTACTGCTGCCATGCCTGGCCCGGATCTTGATCTTCCGACTCTCACTAAAGAGGTATTCGTAATTGTTTGTTTTTCGTTAATTTTTAGCAAGAATTAGGGTGGTATTTTGCAGGGATTAGTGTGATTGATATAATTTATTTGGTAGGTGATAATGTTGATTAGAATTATCATGAATCGAATATGATCCAGTAATGCGAGAATTTATGACTAAACGAATTAGCCCTTTTGGGAAAAGAAAAATTTTGGAAGTGAAAAAATAGTTCCAATTCCGTTCCGGAAATTTTAGGAAACATTAGAAATCGGAATTCCGGAAATTGGAATGAAATTCAAAAATCGGAAATTTTTGGATCGAAATTGGCGGATTTCAGAATTTCAAAATTTTTAGTCACTTATAATATAAAATACATAATCATATTCATATTTAAAGTGTAATTTTTGAAAAAAAAAATCGGAAATATTTTCGAAAATATTCTTGAAATTGAAAATTGGAACTTTGGGAAATTCCTTTCCAATTTCGACTAATAATCCTTAAAATAGAAAATTCTCATGCAAAAATAGATTTTTCGTGTTTTCTTGAAAGGTGGATAGTTGGATGAGTTATCGAGATTTTTTTATAATCCGATCCCGTTTGATTAGGACCGTTTGATTCAACTCTTATTATGTTTTAATAGTTCGAGAGAAGATTGGATTCTCCAATGGACAACAAATACACTTATGGTGAAGCTAAAGACGAACCGCCAACTTCTTATCTTTTAGGCCCCGATTTCTTGGCATCGAAACTATATCAACTTTCTCCACCCGAGGTAATATATTTATTTATTTATTTATATACCGTTTATGAAAAGATTATGGTGATGTTAATTTTTGCGAACGAAAAACAGGATTTGACACTAGCGAAGTTCTTAATAAGGCCATCGCCTTTGTACCGTGATTTTCATTGCCAGTCGGACGAAACTGTTCTGACAAAGGAAAATTACGGTTCTGTCCCTCGTGTGTACATTGTCTGCGACGAGGACAACTTGATGAAGGAAGACATGCAGAGGTGGATAATCAGACATAATCAGCCACACGAGGTGAAAGTGATCAACGGCTCAGATCACATGGCCATGATTTCTAAGCCACACGATTTGAGCTCCCTTTTGCTGGAGATTGCCGACAATTACTGCCGATGAATGATCTCCATTTTTTAGAGGTAGCCCTCTAACATAAGTTTCCTTAATCTCGTACTGGTGTTTTATTACTACATGCCGAACAAAAAAAAAAGAAAAGAAAAATATCTCCGTCTTTTCTGAAGTTACATGTCGAATTAAACTTGAATATATGAAAAGAAAGCAGAATAAATACTAAAAATAGTCCCGAGACTAGATTTTAAGGATGTTTTCTTCCGACGGCTCTACCGCAGAGGAGGGCATTGGTCGGAATATTATATTCATTTGAAAGACTTTTCGTTGGATTGTAAACCCTCAGATATAATTGCTGTCCTAAATATTGTCCTCCCCAATTCGCGGACCTCAAATTCCACATCCCTTGATTGTCCAACGATACTAATATAGCTGTCCAAGATTTAGGGTATACCTACAAAAAGTTTCGTCCGTGTTTATAAAACGCAATCACATATGACACATAAAACTGTGTAGTAAATATGTGCAAGTGTACTATATATGTTATGGATATATACTTGTGTAGTGTGTCTTGTTGGAGCATCGACGAGATTGTATCCGTTTCTGCTAACTTGCGTCCATTGTCCCATCCCGAATCTAAAAAAAAAAAGAAAACAATAAAAAAATACGGATTAGAAACTTTTTTGCATTAATCGGGCCGTAAAATGAAGTTATTAAATTTCTTACCCAACAACCCAAAAATCGTAACCGTCAAGATGCCACGATTGAATTATTTCCTCGTTGTTTTGGAACACAATTTCGACGAATTCGTGGAGTGAAGTTCCGATCACTGACGTGGCTATGGTGTAGGGCCCGCCCGGCGGAGCGCTCTTGATTGAGTCGAGTGTGAAAACACCGGTGATGTTGAAATAATCGGCAAGTTTTAGAGGGGTATCGGTGTTGTTGTAAGAGATTTGATTAACTGCAAATCTTTGCTTTCCGTTGATAATAGCTGCCGAATTAGCTAGGATAATAGTTCTCGATTTTTTTATATTCCCATAATGGAACGAGCCCTGAGGGTTAGGTCTCGCAGCATTCGATGTTAGATTCCACCTAAAAAAATAATAAAAACATTTCGGAAATCAAGATTCCTCTTCTTGTACGATGATTTTGAAATCGAGTTTATTGTATTTAGTGTCCATCTGTTATACCTGAAGGATCTGGCTTGGTCCATTGACCACGCCGCTTCGTCTGTGGGGCCCGCCGGGGTGGGCCCCGAAACACCGGTCCGGGAGTTGGTGTAGTGCAACACTGCAACAGCCGTAAGGACCGGCGTAAGGAACTTTGTAGACGCAATTATGTAATAATCTTTTACGGATTGGTCCAACGTGACGAGGACGGTCACGGACTGACCCACGTGTACGTCGAGAGAATCGTACATGTTTTGGATGACGTGGGACCCTTCGACCTCTACGAGCTTTAGTTTATGCCCTTGAATTCGGAAGTTAAACGAGGCCGACAAGCCCACGTTCGAAACCCTAAACATGTACGTTTTACCTACACAAATCATATCAATTTGAGAAAGAAAAAAAAATAAGACAAAAATTTCAATAAACTCCATTTTTTTGAACGTAGATTTAGCACGAAAGGCGCCTGTCTACCTTGGTCACCGGTGAAGGAAGATCGGGTCCGGCCATTTATGAGGATGGCGTCGGGCGAAGGTAGTGGTTTCCCCGAATCGAGTACTTTTTGCAACTCCTAAAAACAAAAACAAAAAAAAAAAAAAAAACAAAATCAATACGTACATGTTATATATATAAGTGTGTGTTATAATTAATCAATATATATATATGTATGTATATATGACCTTGTGACTTTTTAGGTACCAATCACCGATGAGGAGGGTGAAATCTGCGGCGGGCTTGGAATACGGGACGGAAATAACGGGCCTTGCGTATACGTTGATCGACCCGAATCCTCCGGAAGCTTTGTGAACGAGAGTCGAGGGAAAATACGTGTAGGTGCCGATTTGATCCTTTGTTTGGAATTTGTAAGTATAGTTTGAGTTTGGAGGGATTGGGCAGTTTGTACCCAAGACACCATCTTGCCAAGAATTCTTTCTCTGTTTTATCCCATTCCTATAATTCTCAGACAAGAAAACATGTATAAAGTTATGTGCACATATTCTTGCTAAAATATAGGGGTGAAAATTTGACGGATTGGATCAGAATTACAAGTTTCGGAAAGATTGCCCCTATTTTCGAAAGTGAAAAACTAATTTCAGTTATGTCCCAACAAATACAAATGGGGAAATTTAAAATCAGAAATTATATTTTTTTGGAAATTAAAATTAAAAAATCAGAAATAAAGAAATTCGGTTAGCAGCATTCGTAATTCTGGAAAATTCGTTTCGTCATTCATTTACAGTGTAAAATACATAATAATATTGATATTATAGTGTATTTTTTTGTGGGGGGGGGGGAGATGGCACTATATATCGAAAACTAAAGTAGATTGAAAATCAGAATCTAACACGTATTCCAATTACGTTTCCAAAAAAATCTGAAATCTAAACTTTCGAGATTTGGAATGAGAAATATTGTTCCAAAACAGATTTTTTTTTTTCGGATGGAATTCAGCGGAACTTGAAAATTTCGTTCCAATTTCCACCGTATTCCTAAATCCAAGAATATAAAAAGCATTTACTCACCATGTCAAAAGGAAAGGCTGGTCCAACTTATTAACGACGTTGATGATTACGTTGTCGTTCGTCACACAATCAAGACTAGGACCGGGGAATTGACCGTTGATGAGGATAACCTGAAAAATATAATTCAAACATTAAACTCTCTCTCTCTCTCTAGAAAGATATCTCTCTCTCTCTCCATGAATACTGACTGACCTGTTGAGAGAGGCCGAGCGGCGAAGCCGTTCCGTAAGTGACGGTCCAAGTGAAAAACCGGTAAGGATCTTCGGCGTTCACGATGTCCCAATTAGACGCGAAAATCGAGACCGCAAAAAATAACAATAGTACCCTTGTCCACATTTCTCCAAGTTTATTATGTAAACTTATTAATAATACACAAAATGAAAATAATACGTGAGAAAATCTTTCTGTAAATTAAATTATGGCGGGTCTGTTAGGCTCATTCGTCCATATATATATATACAAGTAGATAAATCATAAATATAATTGGTAATTTAAATAATTAATTAATTAAATACATGAATTAGATATATTTTTAAAACGAAAAGGAAAAAGGCTTCACTTGGTAGACACGAGATCTGCATGGAAAGGTGGTCACAATTAGTCAACGATTTGAATATTCATGTAGCCTCTTGATGTACCAGGTAAACCTCACTTATCCTAGGTTTTAATAGGTTTATTAATATTAATTGTGCTTAATTGATTATTAAACTTGTCTTTATAAATAATCAATGAGGGCTAATCTTATTTTAAGCGGCTGATGAGCTGTTTTAAGAGCTAGTAAGTTGTTATCTCCTATTTTTTTTAAATATTTTTTTTAGTGTTTGGATAATGAGTTTATAAGCTACTTTTAAGTGTCTTCTTGAAAAATTCTTATTTGCCTTCCAACGGTTTATTATTTTGAATTTTTAGGATCTTTTTAAAAAAAATTACAAAATACCATGAAAGAATTTATAAGCTATTAAATATTTTATAAGTTATTTTTAACAGCTTATAAACATAACCAAACACCACGTTAGTTGGACCTATTAATATTATACTATTGCCCATCATCATATACCATATGAGTTTTGCACTTTTACTACAATTTTTAGGCAACTTGTGAGCCATACATAATATATGACCAACATGGGAGGCAATTATGAAACATTTGAATACTTTTAAGACGGAAAATTAGATATTACGTCTGGTTATATATACTGGACGAGTTTGAACTATAAATCTACAAATAATTACACATACTCAGTGTAAATAATCAGATGTAACATTTAACTTCTGCTTTAAAACCCGATCACCACTCACAAGTTAGAAATTATAAGCTGTCATAATCGGATCTAACAGAACCTAGGTGCAATAAATTAATCATGTGCAAAATAATAATATATAATAATTAATATAATGGTTAGAGCAAAGTCATTATTATTATTTAATTGTAAATGGGGCTTTTCTATGTGGGTAGTATCTCGTGAGGGTTTTGACCTTTAGTCAACGATCCACTCTCTCAAATCTAATCTTACAAACAAATTAATGCCAGCACACAGTCCACCATTAATTACTCCTTGTGTGACTGTTAATTTCTAATCCCAACTAAATTTACTTTAATCTTGCTCCTTAGTTTACAACTGAACAAGTATTAAGAAAACTAATAAAATAAATTCGAATATTTTTTACATATAATATCAATAGAATTCATTTCTTTTTAATCCCCCAACTCCTATTAACTCTCAACTAGCTGTTTGGCTAAATTTGTTTTAAACAATTGATAAGTTCTTACGTCTGATGAGTTATTTAGCTAAAAAGTTGTTCCGTCTTATGTTTAGAATTGATTTTTGTACAGTTTGGATAATGAGTTCATAAACTATTTTTACTCATAATAAAATCATAAATAAAAAAGTGAGGTAGAATGTATTTTTTTTAAAGATTTGAAAAGGTCTTGAAAAGCTTATTTTTTTAGTTCTTAAGATGTTTAAAGAATAAATATCAAACATGTTGAACGAGCTTATAAAGTCTTAAACAAATTATAAGGTTAGCCAAACACCCTATAATTAATATTCCCTCCATGCCAAAATATGTGTCGCTTTGGGTTGTTGTGCACATATTAAGAGAATTAATGAATGTGCGTCGATTTTAGAGAAAAATATATAGAATGACTAAAATGTCCATGTTATTAATGATGTTTCCATTAATTCTAAGTCAATTAATGCATAATAATACGGGTAAAATTGAGAAAATAGTAATTAATGTTTCATTGAAATTCTAATGTGACAGATAATTTGAAACAAGAAAAATCATCCAAGGCGACAGTTAATTTGAAACGGAAGAAGTAATTAGTAATAACTAATAGATAGTAATGTATATTTAAATTCTAAAATAACGAATAATATGGAACATGAATTTAATTTGGAATACGTGGAGTATACTATAAGCTAATCGTGAATTTTCAACTTAGTACTTTACAATGCACCCTTCCAGGAATTGAACACAATGAAATTATTTATCAAAAAAAGAACACAATGAAATTAATGTTAACCATTTGGAATTATTAGTGTATTAAACTTAAAAGTTTATTATATTTGAATCAAAGTTATTATAATATATATTAACAACAAAAGTTAAATCAGTCTTCTAAATGTAAGGTCAATGAAAGTACAACAGGATCCGTGGCGCAATGGTAGCGCGTCTGACTCCAGATCAGAAGATTGCGTGTTCGATTCACGTCGGGTTCAAATTCCCCGATCCAATGATCCATACTTCTTTTTGGGCAAAGTCATTTTGATTGCATAGAATATTCCTCTAAAAAATATCATTTTTGCCCTTTGCATAGAATATTCCTCTAAAAAATATCATTTTTGCCCTTTAACATGTGACACATGTAAGCATATTAATAATTAATTACTTAAGAGGTAAACTGAAATATATTTAAAAAAGATATTGTTATTTTTAATTTTAAAACTAAATTTATATAAAAAAATAATAATTAAATATATCTTTGTAACATTAAAAGTTTTTATTTGTTTTGTAATTTTTTTTACATTTTTATAATTTTCTATTCAATGAAATCGATTATACATATTGTTATAATTTTTATTCCATAAAATTGATTTTATGTTACAAATATTTCATTATTATTAAATATATTTTTAATAACTCGAACAATCTTCTCATAATTCTCCGGCAACATACCTCATAAGGTTTTCATAATATGGGGGAATTTTCGTAATTAGACATTAGCTCAGCGGTTTCTCGTAATTTATCCTTTGTTTTTTGATAAAATAACAGAAGTGTAAAACAAACACAATACACTTTATGTGAGTTAAAACGGTCACACACTAGTCAAAGGGGGATTTCGTAATTACACAAACACGAGGTATTTTTGTAATTAGGACTTACCTTAGGGGTTTTCCCGTAATTTGCCCTATTGGATTTAACCAAACTCCCATTGACAAATTTGGACACATTTCAAAAGCAAGCATCTCAAAATTACAGCTGAGATATGAAGTAACCAAAAAAAAAAAGGAAAAAATAAAATAAAATAATCCAAACTGCATTTTTATGGTTTCAGCAAATCAAGAATTGTCAAAGATTACAGACTCAGCCTTGCCAATCTTGCTTCATTCGGACAATACTATTTGTAGCCGACGAGCTTTTTCAATCGATACCGTAAAATCACCAATAATCACCGCACGAGCATTTTCCAGACTCGAAACAATGGAACCTACTCGAATCCCGTATAATAATCTTCCTCTCAACAATACTCGAAATAAACTTAATCGCCGAATGACAGTCCACGCAAGTCCTCAAGTTCTTGAAAACCTTAATCGAACTCCCCTCGGGAGTACTAATTACACCAAACGCCACCGCAAGTTTTTCGCTGTGATAAAACAAGTTCTGCTCCTTCTGCTCCTCTTCAACATCGTGCAGTACGTAGTCCGTGTGAGGCACATACCCTTCTTCCTTCATTCTCTTCGAAACCTCCCCTAAAAAATCGAATATTTCTCTCGATTTTAAATGGGATTGATCTCCAACCAAGAAAACGTGCACCTTCTTCTTGATATTAATCCAACTCATACCGGGTTTCTTCACCACTCCCTTTTCGTCCATTAATTTCCTTACATTTGCCACCTCACCCCATTTACCCGCAGTGGCGTATATATTAGCAAGTGTGACATACGTAGCAGCATTCTCCGGCTCAATTTGGAATAAAGCTTCGGCTGCTCGCTCGGCAAGTTCGTAATTTCCATGAATTCTGCAACCACCGAGTAAAGAAGCCCACAAAAACTTATCGGGTTTCATTGGCATTTTTTTAATAATATCTTCGGCTTCTTTAAATCTACCTGAACGGCTCAAAAGATCAACCACACAAGCATAGTGATCAGAAGTGTGGCTCAATCCATGTTTCTCCGTTATTGAATAAAAATATTCGAGCCCTTTATCGACTAAACCAGCATGAGTGCAAGCCGACAAAACCCCAACAAAAGTAACATGATCGAGCTTATTACCGGATTTAACTAATGAGTCAAACAGCTTGAGAGCTTCGTGGGGTTGACCGTTTTGGGCATATCCATTGATCAAAGAAGTGTACGAAACTAAATCGGGTTTTGGCAGCCAATTGAAAACTCTATTTGCTCTCTCGACACTGCCGCATTTAGTGTACATGTGAACGAGTGCACTAGCGGCAAACGAAGATGGATCGAATCCGATTCGCATCATTAGTCCATGTACTTGTCTGCCTAACTCCTCTGCGGTTTGATGAGCACATGCATTTAACACCCCAGCGAATGTAAACTCGTTAGGCTTAATGCCTGAGCTTAAGAAATCGGAAAATAAAGAGAGCCCTTCTTCCCATTTCCCATCTCCGAAATACCGATCGATCATTGTTGTCCAAGAAACAATGTCGTTACCCACTGTTCTGTCGAAGATGTACTTTGCCTCGTTCAAGCTCCCACACTTTCCGTACACATCTAATAAAGCACTCCAAACTACGGCATCAGAATCCAGCCCCATTCGTGTTATATGTGCGTGAATCTCCTTCCCCAAACGCAAAGACTGAATAGCAGCCGAAGCTGCCAGGGCGCTAGAAATGGTGAATTTGTTGCACGCAAAATTCGAATTTCTCTGCATTAGTCTGTATAATTCCAACGCATCTGCTGGGCTTTTGTGCTTAACGTAACCCGAAATCATGGCTGTCCAGGAAAAGTTATCTCTTTTAGGCATTTCGTCGAACAGCTTCCTCGCTTCCGAAACTCGGCCCATTTTTGCGTACCCAGATATCAAAGTGTTCCAAGAACATACGTCCCTGTCACCCATTTCATCGAACAGTTTCCGGGCATCGGAAATACTCTCGCATTTGCAGTACAAATCGAGAATCTTGTTCGAAATGAAAACCCCGGGCGCAAAACCCGATCCTTTGATGTGGGAATGGACTCTTTTGCCCTCATCCAGAGCTCTCTTTTCAATACAGAGCTGAAGAACTGCCGCGTATAAAGACGCAGATGGCCGGTGAACTTGCTTTTCGAGTGACTGGACGGCGTCTTTCAAGCGTTTCTGTTGGCAGAAGTGATCGACGGATTCATTATTTTCCGGTGACCTGAAGAAAGGTTTCTGAGGCTTGGTTGGTTGGGTTACATGTGTTTGAGAAGAAAACGGAGAAGAAAGCCGACAACGGCGGAGAGAAAGCGATCTGAATAATCTTCGAAGATGTAATGGTTTCGGCTTCATTGTGTTTTACATACAATCTGATGTTCAGCTTGGCTTTACCGGCGAGACTGAGCATGAATGCGATTAATTAATTTGATTTTCAGAGTATTATTAGGTATTTGTTGAAATAGAAACTAAAAAATTATTTAAAATTAAAAAAGATGGACCGTATAAGTTCGGGGAATTGAAAACCCGACGTGAATCTAACACCCCACCTTCTGATCTGGAATCAAACGCCCTACCATTAGCCCACGTATCCCTTTGTGTTAACCAACAATTCTTAATACATTTCT